TAAATTTAATAGTTAAAATAAAAGTATTAAAAAAAAAAATAATGTTAAAATATTAAAAAAAAAAATAATTAATTAAGCTACCAAATAACAAGTTTATAAATCGGCGTTTTTTTTGTAATATTAATATTAAATGTTTTATTTAATGTAAATTAATATTTTTTAAAAAATTTAATAATATTAAATTTAAAAATTATTATATATGTATTTAATTAAATTTTTTAATTTTTTAACTTTAAAATTGTATTTTTAAATAATTATATAATTGCCAAAAAAAAACGAATTAAAATAATAAGTTATAATAATGTTAATATATATATTATATATTTAAAAAAGTATATATAAATATAATTAATAAACATTATTTATTATAAAAATTTTATTTATAATTTTATATTATTAAAGTTATTAAAAAGGTAAGATTATTAATAAAATAATTAATATAAACCTATTTATTTAAAGTATTTAAATAATATTATTATTATTAAATTTGTTAATTATTACAATTAATTTATTTTTAAAAATATATTTTATAAAGTTTTTAAAATTATTTTTTATGTATACTGTAACGATTTAAATTTAAAACTTATAAAATTACCAAATATAATTAATATTTTAAAATAATATTATAAATTAAACCACTTAAGTTTTTAAATTTTAAAACATTTTATAAACGTTAATGAAAAAATATATATTAAAAGATTTATTATTATTAAATATAAAGTATACGGGATAATAAAAATTAAATAATAAATAAAACGTATATTACGGCGTATTAATAAATTTTTTAAGATAAAATTAACATTAAATTTTTATTTTTTAAAAACATTTAATAACAATATTATAAATTTAATATTAATTATAAATTATTAAATTAAAATAATTTTTAATTATTACTTAAATAATAAAAAATTTAAAACAATAATTATAATATTTAAAAACTTTATAAAACTATTAAAAATTTAATACGATATAATATTATACATATAAAAGTTAAATTAAGAAATTATTTAAATTAAATCGGTAATTAAAAATTTTTTTAAAAGTTAATATATAAAATTAAAACTTTTAACAAATTATATTTAAGTATAAAATAATATTATTAAACATTTAAAAAATATAATAAAAGATAAAATATATGTAATAAAATCACATATAAAATTACTTTATTTTTTATAACTTAAAATTTACAAAGTTATTATGTATTTATATAATCATATATTTTAATATAAGTATAATTAACGTATACCATATAACCGTTTTTATATTTTTATAATAATAAATAACGGAATTATAATTTAAAAAAAAAAATTTTAATAAATTTATTTACAAATATATAATTATAAAATTTATATTTTAATAATTAACATATTAAAAAAAACTAATAAAAAATAACGTTTAAACTTAAAAATTTAAATAAATTATCTTATAAATTACATTTTAATAAATATTTATAAAATATAAAATCTTTATATTAATAAAATAATAAAAATTTAAAACGTTATTTTTAATAAAAATAACTTATTTAACAAAAATTTTATAAAATTAAGAAAAAGATTACATAATAATTTTATATATATAAATATTAAATAATACCGTTAAATATTATAATTTATCCAAAATTTTTAACCAAAAATTAACTTAATTATAAATAATAATATAAATAATAATAAATTTAAATAAATTAAAAATATAAATATATTAACGTTAAATTTAAAGTTATAAATAAATAATATATTAAAAAAATTTAAAGTAATAAATATATCGTTAAAAATTAATTATTTTTATATAACCGCAAAATTTGCTTTTTTACCAATTTTAAATATATTATTACTTACAGTTTTATTTATAATAATAATATAATTTAAAACGTTAATTAATTTTAATATTTTACTAAAAATATAAATCTTATAAATTAAAATTTAACAAATTACATTTAATGTAAATAAATTAAATAATTAAAAAAAAACATATAAAAAATAAACGATTAATAAAATAACGGAAATTTAACTTTTTTGCAAATTATTTTAACATAATTTAATTATTTAAATAAAACAATTTAAAATTAACTATTAATAAAAAAATAAACTTAAAAAAATACATTAAAAAAACCTTTTAAAACCTTTTAAAAGGTATAATAACCTTAAAAATCACTTATATAAAATAATATTTAAAAAAATAAAAAAGATGTATTTAAAAAATTACCGTTAAATAAAAACGTGGAAAAAAATCTTAAAAATTAATTTAAAATATTATAAACAATAAATCTTTAATTATATATAAATATATATATATAAATTTAATAAATATAAATATTTATAAAAATATAAAATAAAATTAATAATTAAAAATAACCAATAAGTTTTAAATATTAAAAAAACATACGTTTTAATATTAATAAAAAAGTTTTTTAAAACTTTAATAATAATAATTGTAAGATTTAATTTTAAATTAATATAATATAACATAATAAATGTTTTTATTAACGTTAAATTTAAAAAAAACATATTTATAAAAATGTTTTAAAGTTATTAATAATTAAATAATATATTAAAATTAATTAAAACATTATATAATTTAAAAAAGTTACTTTTACTTTAATAATAAAAATTTATAATAACGTTAAAAAATTTAAATTTTAAATTAATATTTTAAAAATTATATATATTTATAAATAACGGAATATTATTATTTATTTACGTTAATAATATAATAATTACATATTTTAAATTAAAAGAATTATAAATAAATTAACTTACATAAAATTTAAAATAATAATATTAATTTATTAAAAGTAATAAATTATAATAGTTTTTAAATATTAAAATAATAAAAAATTATAAAAAGTAATTAATTTAATTAAATTAATTTTTATATATTAATAAAATAATTAATTTTATAAAATCTTTAACATAAATTTTTATAATACCAATAATAAAAAAAAAATTATTACCGTATAATAAAATAGTTTTAAAAAAGTTTAATTATTATTATTAATAAAAAATAAAATTTATTTTATATGTAATGGTGATTACACGTTTTAACATTATTTTTACAACTTTAAAATTATTAAAATTTAATAATAATTTTAACTTAAAATATTATAAGGTAATTAATTATATATTATATTACTTTAAATATATATAAACATATGTGTTATAATTAAATGGTAATAATTTTTTTAAAATTATTAATAATATTTTATTTATTAATAATATTAACAATTAAAAAAGTTTTTAAATATATATAATAAAATTATTTAAAAACATAATAAATTAAAAAATAAATAAATAAAATATAATAATTATATTTATAATAAAAATTAAATTATTAACGTTATTATAAATAACAAAAAAAGTTATATTTATTATACAATTAATTTAAAATTTTAAAATTAATTTAAATTAATTTATAATTATAATTAATTATAATAATAAATAAATAATTAAATTAATTAATAAAAATATTAAAAAATTAAAAATAAAATTTAAATATGTTAATATATATAATTATTAATTATAATAAAAGGTTAAAAAAAATTATATAAAAGTAAATTATGTTAAATTAAAAAATATAATTATAAATAAATTTATAAAAACGTTATTTAAAAAATTATACAAAAAATTTAAAAATTAAATAAAATTAACAGATATTACGGAACAATTATAAATAAAAAAATTACAAAAATTAAATAAAAAAATAACTTTAAAATAAAAAATACGTGTTAATAAAAATTAAAAATATATAAAACGTTAAAAAAAATAAAATTAAATTATTAATAATTTAAAAAATAAAGTTATTTAAACTAGATTAATTTTACGGTTATATTTAAAAAAGTATGTTAAATTAATTAATTTTATTAAATAATTTAAAAACTTTAATTTTTTTATAATTATTTATATTTTAAACGTTTTTATAACTTTAATAATAAACAATTAAATTATTAATAATTACATTAATATTGTTTTAATTATCATTTAATTATACGTATCGGCTATTTAACAGTAATTATGTGGCTATGTAAAATAAAAAAATGGCTTTGGTGTAAACTTAAATCTTATCAATCCATTTTACACAATGTCAAAAATGAAAAGGGGTAACGAAAGCCAAAAAGGGGCTAAATTGTGCTGAGTCATCAAATCTGTACGGATCCGTAGTATGGCCCCACGCCCCAGATCTTTCATCAATTAAGAACAAGCAGCGGCACGTCGCACCGTGTTCAATTGTTAATTGTCCCTTGTCAATTGTTCCGAATTTACACCTCACCCCAAAATTATCCTGGACCATCAGCCCAAAGTCTAACTTAATAAGGCAAGTGTAAACCTTCATTCCACCGTAATAATATTAGCGCACTTAAAATTCAATTATTATTTCATTAATATTATATAATTATGTATAAATATATATTTTATATACCGTTTTAAAATTTAATAAAATTTATTAAAATTAATTATTAATCGATAATCGATTAATTAATAATTAATTAATTTATTTTATTTTTTTAAAAAAAAAACTTTAAATATAACAAATTATATAAACCATGTCACGTGTTAATTAAATTGTTAATTAAATAATAAATATCGCATAAACATTAAAACTATTTATATTACGTATCGTATATATTTAAGTGTTTAAATACCTTTTTATACGTAACACAATGCAATTACGAATTAATCCTTATTTTTTTATTATTTCGTGGATAAAATGCCTCATATTTTGTAATTAAATTGAATTAAATTAAGTTGAATTGAATCTAATGTAAGACCTTAAAATTTAACCAATCAAATCTTGCGCTTAGGCTGTAAACTCCCCTGTCAATTGTAACCAATCAGGCTGTTGGATCCAAGGTTTAAACCTTTGCCAAATCAGGTTAGACTTTGGGCTGATGGTCCAGGATAACTTTGGGATGAGCTGCGCCCTCAATTGTTCCTTAACCCAATTATCGAAGCTACGCGCCGAATTCCAACTTCACATTGCCCAACTTCAGTCCGCTCCTTTGCCCTGTATCTGTAACTTTACTTTACTTTCTACCTAGTTATACTAATTACAATTCCATTCCTCTTATTTTTAACCCTTTATATCCCGAATAATCAAGGTCGCAATCACAATGGCTCCGACAAAAGCGACCGCAACTAAGGACAAGTACTCGGTTATCCTGCCGACGTACAACGAACGCCGCAACCTACCCATCATTACCTGGCTCCTCAACCGCACCTTTACCGAGAAGTACGTCATCTCCCCTTCTCCCCTTCTTATTCACTCCTTGGGTATGATTAGGAGCTAACTGCGGTATAGCAACCTCGACTGGGAACTCATCGTCGTCGACGACGGCTCACCCGACGGAACGCAGGTCGTAGCGGAACAGCTGGTCAAGGCCTACTCGCCGCACGTAGTGCTAAAGGCGCGATCGGGTAAGCTCGGGCTGGGAACCGCATACGTACACGGGCTGCAGTTTGTGACGGGCAACTTCGTCATCATCATGGACGCCGACTTCAGCCACCACCCCAAGTTCATCCCGCAGATGATCGCGCGCCAACGGGCCGGCAACTTCGACATTGTTACAGGGACCCGGTACGCGGGCAACGGCGGTGTGTACGGCTGGGACCTCAAGCGCAAGTTTGTTAGCCGCGGCGCCAACCTGTTCGCCGATACCGTCCTGCGCCCCGGCGTCAGTGACCTGACCGGCAGTTTCCGCCTCTACAAGAAGTCCGTCCTGCAGAAGGTCATCGAGAGTACCGAAAGCAAGGGCTACACCTTCCAGATGGAGATGATGGTGCGCGCCAAGGCCATGGGCTTCAGTGTTGCCGAAGTCCCCATTACCTTTGTTGACCGTCTCTACGGCGAGTCGAAGCTCGGTGGTGATGAGATCGTCGAGTATGCGAAGGGCGTGCTGAGCTTGTGGTTGAAGGTTTGAGGTGGAAAATATACCCCGGCTATGTGTGTAAGAGGTAAAGCAATTGAGTCGGCTTGGCCTATGGCCAGATGGTTTTATTTATGTATGTACCATCAATACTCATACAGAGTTAAAGCAGGTGAAATATTGTGATATCTATTCGTGCGCGATCAATTGTTTAGACGTAACAAACGCTACGACCATTAATCAGCATAGCTGTTTCTAGCAAAATGTGAAGCTCGGCGGGGAATTTCTTACAAGCTGTTTTTGAAGCGGCTTCTTCCCCATTATTTACTTAACTGCCATCTACCATAACACATGATATAGGATTCTCATCCCTAAACAGACACATAGATACGATAAAACCTTCTCCTCGTATCACAATAAACAAAATTTTTATTACTCTTATGAAACTACGAGCTAATGAAAATTGAACAGCCGAAATAGTCAAATAGTAAGAGGAAAAACATCGCTTTCCTCGGACGGCCCCGAACCGTATGCCGAACCCCTTTACGAGAACTACGTTCCGAGAAAGAATGCTAGGGGGTAAATTACTCACCAAATTAACATTTTTCAACCTACTATGCATTCTCGGTAGTCCTCAGATTCGAACGTCTCTGAGGCTATAGAAGCTCAATAAGCTGCCGTCCTCCCCGAAGTTAAGTTTCAGGTGCATGAGTGGCTCCAAAACCGGGAGCCATGAAAGGGTCATCCCACTATAGCAATAAGTTAGCGATCGGTATTTTGATTAATGGGTTTGGGGGAATTTAGCAAATCGAGACGGGTTATGGGGGATAGAAGGGGGACATCAGATGTTACATACATTCACCCTATTATGATCAGGGTATTCAAAATATCCCAAGTTTCCCTGCTGGTCTCGAAACCACTGTAGGTATTCTCCAGGAAAGCCAATTATTTCCTCTAGGGGTGCCGAATGGCTGAGTAGTCTATGTATTCCGTTGTAAAATTGTACATCTGGCGTGTCTCGACAATACATGATGATACGTTCGCATATCTTCATCCAGCGCCTGTGAAACGGTGAGTTAGTTCAGTTTTATAGGGACTGGAGCGGGAATATGACTTACTCTATGTGGTAGGCGTCTAACGTCCCCTGCATGAGCCTTATCTCTAACGTCCCTGTTTCCTTCTCTTTCATAAATGATACAACGTTACCATAAATCTTGAATTTTACATAAAGAAAACCTGTATCGCCAGACATGCCTTCACTTAACTCTGTGATACTTTGGTACTTCCAAACCTCATTGATTATTTCTCGGGTGTGCGCAATGACGTTATACGTATCCGTTGAAGATGGTGTAAATGGCACATGCTTATTCATCTGACTCATATTGCTCTTGTAAGCATCCGGGTCTGTGTCTTCGATGGTTGACAAGCAGTTCTTGTTGCCACCCCGCACCGCTGTGCTGATTGGGCAATTATCCCGGTTAGATAAACAGTAAGTGTTGGATCCGTCAGACCGATCGCGTCGGTGAAGTTTTTCCAGATCTTCCTCAAGAATAAGCCAGAGTGTCGAGAACTATATTATGAAGTTAGCGTCGGTTTATCATATATCATATAACTAGAATGAAACGTTATGAGGCTTTATCGACTACTATTCGGTGGCCTCCTGATATCCTGGCTCATTTATAGTAAGGTAATGTGTTGAATGTACAAAGCAAATGTTCCAACTTACCTTCTTAAGATGTAATAATGTCCATCCCTTCTCCTGTCCGAAGTGGATATGGAGGCCAGTCTTTATGGCCGACATTGGTTTATGAATACAGAAAGCCCCTCGGAGAGCATCGCACTATGTAATAATTGGGGGTCAGTCATCTTAGGTTAAAAATAAATGTGGAAAATATGAGTTGCATTAGACTCGGGGATGATACTTACAGCCCTTCGAATAGCAGGAATAGTGTCCCGGTGGTTATAATCCAGAATGGATGTCCGCAGTTCTCCCTGAAACCAAGCATAAAGTTTCAGGGGGTTCCGGGTCAAGATTTTGTATCCATCTTTGTCTAAGACTGGGTTCCCATCTCCGTCTAATGATAGGAACGATTCGGGAACAGAGACCGAGTCCGCCGGAACCCGATAAAGACGCATACATTCATCATCCGGAAGGTTGTCTGGTTTTATAGTTACATCTTGACCGCACGTCCAAGCTCTATAGAAAGGGATAGCTCCGGGGATATCAACAGAATTTGGGTCGATCTCCCCCGACACCCGTTTCTCATACTCCCTTAAGGCTTCTGCCGTTCGAACCTTAGCATATTTTTTAAATGTGTCTCGTGCGTCTGTGAATCGTGCTGGTCTTGGGCGACCCCTTCCCCTATGCTCAACCCGGAGATTCCTTTCTTGAATATGATCTATATCCCTATCCAAAGTATGATATAACTTCAGTGAATTTTTATCATGGAAATCCGCGAACTGTTCTACCCAATGGTTAGCGCCAATATGGTAATTCTCGAAGTTTTCTTTAGTGTAATCCCATGTATATACGCCTATCCATGGCTCGAGGTTAGTAGCATTTCCAATTACATCTCTTTCCTTGCTAGATGTCCAGCCGAATTCGGTGGTGGGTTCGAATTTATCCGCAAGGTCGTTATCATTCCGAGATTTCACTGCCAGCACTCTGTTATCCCTAAGTACATCAACTATCTCATTACGAACGGTAATTTTGAACTCGGCACTGGTCTCGGGGAAGGATGCCATTCTGCGTGCCAGCCATCGATTCTCTTCCGGATGCGGATCTGGGCCCCCCTCCGCTGTTTTCACGGCGAGCAGAAACTCAAATTCGACACCTACGGTGGTTAGATTTCCCGCATTAGCCATTCTAAATTTCATTATTCTGTCTTTTCTTGATCTGCCTAGGAATTGTCGCCTGGGCCACTCGAACAAGCTAGAACTCGCCCTATGGTTAAATGCGATCCTTCTCCCCCTGTAGGGTAAGGGTTCTGGATTTCCCATTATTTCAAGATTCCTTTCAAGTGGGTACCCTGTTCCTTTCGGATGAGTTGATTAGTTTAATAGGCGTCCGTAGTGATATATCGTCGAGATTGGGTTATTGGGTTAGTCGAATATAGAGACGCAGAAATAAATTCGACTTCGAACGACCAGATATTTAACTTCTTGGCCAGCTTTCACAAACAAAAGGATTGTTTAATAGCCCTATTGTACAATGAATTCCTGTCAGGATTCTAGATGAGACATCTAGAACAAAGGAACTGTTCAGTATGTATAGACGAAAGACCTTCATAGATAGTTTAGAGTTCCTTGCGGAACAACGAAGTTGATTCCATACTGTTTCGTTCCACCTCGTGACACTTCCTCAATGTTAGTTATTATATTTTCGAAGAATTACGATCTGGATATAGTCAATCAATTGTTCTCAAGGTCTTTGTGATTTTGTATGAATATGAAGAACCCCAGAGCAATTCATTGGGAGAGAGTTATGACTGATCAAGTTAAATTCGGATTGTTAATAGTAAAATGCATTGTTTAGCTTGGAAAATAGAATCCTAGCAAAAGTTGTCGACATGATATTGCTCTTTCTGAGGAATATTTAAGATATATGCCCTTGGAATATCAAACCTGGAGAGATCTTGAACCTATTGGGAAGCGTAGAAGCGTAGAAGCGTAGAAGCCGTAGAAGCAGATAAGCAGATAAGCAGATAAGCAGATAAGCAGATAAGCAGATAAGCAGATAAGCAGATAAGCAGATAAGCCAGCCAGGTACCTCAAGTGTGAGGTACCCAATGTACCTAAAATATGTCATCACCCCGCTAATCCTTTTATCGCCTTATCGCAGTTGCTTCATCGAATCATTTTAGCCTTTTACTATTTCAACGTTTTAACAATTGACTCTAATAAAACCAACCCCAAACTAATCTTAAACTTGTCAACTTCTCAGGACATTTTGTCCTGGACGTGTGTCTTTCGTTCTACCATTCGCTTTGGCTGTTACTTGACATGACCTAAAATGCGCGGACGCGGGGGCGCCCGAGGAAGCAGAACACCTTCTGCACCATGGAGTCGTCTTAAACCGGTGGATTTGGACCCGCTAGAGTCGATGGGTTTGCCGTCCAAAGGTGATAGTAGGTTGGTGATTAATCTATTTCATGGTCTTGGTCTATTCAAGAATAAAAGAATAAAAGATTAACGCAACTCTAACAAAACACTGGCAGATTGCTCGATTTTAAGACTCAAGAACGTTACTACACCAAGATTGTCGAACGCTACATGACCTTTTGCTCTGATGCCGGCGAACGTGATGAACTCCTCCGCCGCTTCGCATCGTTAGAGCTCTCGTCTATCTCTAAGCACGACAATCCCATCGCGAAGGTTATCCCTAGTTCCTCCTCTCTAGTTTCGAATCGACTTTCAATAGCACCAGCTACCATACCGAGTAATACGAAAGGTTTATCCGATGTCTTGTCAGCGATGAGGAAGTTACGAGAGGGCATCGTAGCCTCTAAGCGTGTCGACGACTTTGCTATTCAAGTGTACCTCTTTTGTATTCGACTTTCTGTTTTGGTCAGGCATCCTGAATCATATCATCCAGCCATCCTTCACCTACTGCGCCGAATCCAGCCGCTGCATAGCATGACGTCGGTCGAGATGAGCGAAGTGGTTGGTTATCTTGTCCTTGACACGGCGTGTAGGAGAAACAACTTAGCCGAGGCGTTTGCCGTGCGACACAAGTATCGGCTGAGGGACGCAAAGGTTGACATGGTTCTCGATGCGCTAGCACACGACAACTATATAGAATTTAATCGCCTGAAGAGAAGGGTTGATGGGCACAAGGCGAAGCTACTCGAATACGCTGATGAAGGCATGCGGAAACACCTACTCAAGTGCTTCGGGAGGGCGTATTTGAGCGTGGACCTGGACTTTTTGGAGTCATGCGCAGACTCTAAATGGGGAAGCCTCACGGCAGAGGACGGTGTCGGGTGGGAACTAGATGGTGGGAAGGTTGTCATCAGGAAGGTCAAGGCTCGGTAGGTCTGGTAGTATATATTTATTGATACCCTTAGGGCGATATGACCATCTTCAAACATTCTCGTGATACTACAAATTTCATACAAATCATCCCGTCTTCGTTCCAGTTGTATTCTCGCCCTGTAAATTATGGGACTGGAGCCTAGTGCCAAGATTGCCAAGATCTTCGGGTTTGTATCGTGAAGCGATCCCGTGTAAGGGTTGTTGGTAGGGCTGACTGGGTCGAGACTCGAAAGCGTACTATGCGGTAAATACTCGATACTACTAATTCCTATATCAGGTAGCTCCTAGATTCTAATTGGTCAATGCCGTAGGAAGTTAGGTATTGTGCTAAGCTCTTATACCGCTTAAGTAAATATATTAATATAGTATGTTCTTAGCCTTTAGGTAGCCATGGTTATAAGCGCATAGGGGTAATTTCCGACTTTCAGCTAATACATGGATACATATATATCTAAGGCGCAGTGCCATCGATAGAAAAGGATGGCTGCATTTATTTTACCTTGGTTATCATCATCATAGTCCTGATCCAGCAATAGTTGGCATTCGTTCGTTTGGAACAGCCTATTAGCCGTGCCGTGAGTATCAGCCCTAGGTATTTGCGCAATTGGCATATCTTATAGCATCAAAAAATGGCAAGGACCGTATCTAATATACTTGTCTGGTTTCTGGCCGCCCATGGCGCGCTTGCGGGTTTGACAGTTGACGTCGAAAATACAGGTTAGTACCCCCGGCGAGAGGATGCCTTTCCCGAATAAATACCTATTCACAGCTCACACGAGTCACCAGACTCTATCAAGGCGGCAGCAGCTCTCGTAGCGGAGGATCTCATGGGATTCTATGATGGCGAAAAACCAGGTAATATTCCTGGCGTTTTGCCTGGGGTTGCCGACGGAAATATTGGTTGGTGGACGGGAGGTGTTCTATGGGACACTCTGCTGGACTACAAAGTTCGCTCCGGAGAGTCCAAGTACGACGAAACTATCTCGCGTGGTATCCAATGGCAGGTTGGGTCGAATGACGACTTCCTCCCTGCAAATTGGTCCGCGACAATGGCCAACTCGGATCAAGGCGTATGGGCTCTGTCCGCTGTCACGGCTAACGAAACCGGCTTGCAATTAGAGAAAGACTCTCCACAGTGGTTTACGCTGGCTAAGAACGTCTTCGACAACTTAAGCAGCGAGGATAGACGAGTCGAAGAAGGTGGCTGCGCTGGGGCCTTGAGGTGGCAGTTATACGCGATAAATCAGGGCTATAATTATATTGACTGTTGGTGGCCCTGTCATATTAGCAGTTTTCTGCCGTATCCCCTATGATCTGGACTCCGTTCACTAACTTGATCCTAGCTTCTTCGAACATTATATACCTAAATCTGGCTGCCAAATTGGCACATTTGACTGGTGAACAATCCTATGCGGATGCAGCCGCTTCTACATACGACATACTCACGCGTATCGGATTTATCACCAAAAACTTCAATGTCTACGATGGGGCACATGTGGATGACTGCAAGGATATTAACAAGTTGCAATTCTCATTGAATGCTGCGTATCTCCTGGAGGGCTCCGCGTTCATGTATAATCTTGTAAGTACCTTACCTTACCTACCTAATTCATTCATCCTTTTCCCAGGTATATGTTATCCTTAGACACTAACAGGATATAGACCGGAAACGATACCTGGAGAACACGCGTGGACGGCCTTGTCGATCGAACTCTCGAGCTCTTCTTTCCGGATGGCGTCGCGACCGAGATCGCGTGCGAAGAAGAGAAATCTTGTACCTCGGACATGTACTTCTTCAAGGGAATACTGCACAGGGCGCTCGCGTCGACCATGCAAGTTGCGCCGCACACCGCTAGCAAGATTCAGCCTAGTCTCAAGTCAAGCGCTAAGAAGGCCGCGGCCGAGTGCACGGGGGGTAGCAACGGTCGACTATGTGGATTCGTCTGGAGTACTGGCAATTTCGATGGCAATACAGGGGCAGCTCAGCAGATGAACATGTTAAGTGCCTTGGTAAGCATCCTGCCTGCGGGAGAGCAGACCTCAGGGGGCAACAGCAGCGTTGGCAGTGGCAGTGGCAGTGGTAGTGGTAGTGGTAATAGTAGTGGAAGTGGAAACGAAGATTCACAGGGGAACACTTCTAGCAATGATACTCACGGCAATGCGGGAACGAAGGTTAGCGTAGGCCTCGCCCTCTTGGGATCAGTATTACTAGGAAGCCTCCTATTGTAATATATTATGGTATACCTTTTTATTATGTTTATTTAGATAACTAGCTGTATATAGATAATTATATAGAACCTATGAAATATTCTATCCGGGCGCCCCTAGGTACCTAATCTAGCCCAGGCCTTTCTAATATAGTTAATGATATTTTCAAAGATGAATGTGTTAGAGTTGGATCGTCGAAAATCAACGAGTTGGCAGTAGATTTCCCGCGATTGCTCCTTGTCCTTCTCTGAATACCCCGGAAGATATTATAAGCCTCCCACAGCTTTTACAGGTTCGTCCTTCATCGTAGGCGCAGCCGATGGAGTCCGACCTCAACTTACAGCCGCACGTTAAGTTTACTGTAGTCTCACGACACATGTTGAGCGTTGAATATGTTAAATAGCAATAAAAAAGATAGCAATTTTTCTCTCTTGAGATGATACCCGCGACTTTCTATGAACTAAGCTAACTTACTAATTTAGTATACGTCTTTACTTATATCTAGAACCATAAAGGATTCAATTACCCTGAAGATTGTCCCGGAAATGGCATTGAAAAGAGCATGATACAAAGACATTTTAGTCACTCGGGGCTCACGTGTCGGCTGTACAATAAAAAGTTGTTTAGGTTATGATTGTCTTTATATTCTATTATGAGATGTTTCAGATGACTAAATTTACTCTGACTTATATAGGTGGTGTTCAACTGCTGAGGCTATTATTAGGTAGCTATGGCCTAAGCAAGTGAGAGATCTTCTCATTGTTTTTTAGATATTTAAAGTACTAGCTGCATGTCCTTTATATCCTAATCCCCACCGTCTATAGAGTTTGTGACTGCATGTCAGTGATGTTAGTGAAACTAGAGTGAAATTGACTTCACGCTTCGTCAACTTTGTGACTAAGTGGCTTAGTATTCCGAACAGTACAAAGCGAGAATGTTCTTTGTGGAAAGCTTTTAGATCATACATACATGCCGAAACAGACCCTTCTTCTTTCTCAAGACGTTAACTGATGCATTCATAACCATCATTAGTAGACACCTCCCACGAGTTTAGCCTAAGTAATAAAGGAAGACCGAGTACGAGTCAACATCAACTTACTCCAAAGAGTCGAAGTAAAATCACCATTGCCACTCGAATTAACCAAAGTCAACATGTGCAAGAGTCACGACCTTTTCTATATGTGCGGATGCCGGTTCGTTGAAGAGAGCACCGGCGAATGGAAGTACGAAATCGAGTTATGCGACAAAGCTAAGAAGAGACAGAAGCCATGCGCAAAACTCGAAGTAGCGCTGCCGATCTTTGCCAAAGACACATACTGCGATGATCCGCACTGCCCAGCTTATGGTTGAGTTGACAGGCCAATAAGATGGAGATGTCGCAGGATTCGGCGCGCCCGTCAGTCTTTTAATGGCATGCAATTCTTGATACGATATCACTTCGAATCCGTATGGTCGATTCTCGAGCGCTGGTTGAAGAACAGTCATTGGTTACGTTCTGCCTTGGATGCCTTCTCTCTTGCCATCCAATAATGGGAGTCTGTCATGAATTCATATCCGAGAAACCATGGATTCGCACAGATGGTTATTGGTAGATAATGAAGTTGAGTCGTTAGGTTAAAATGGCAAATCCCGTACTACACATACATATGAATATAATCTTAAGAACATGAGAGTGCCATGCAGATATGCCAGCCCCTAATGTCCTACACCGCCAATCAAAATAGACTGAGTTCGCCTCGGTTGTACGAGGCACATCGGCTTGCATCAGCAGACAAGGGGGTTTTCGTGGGATCAAACGCCAGCCTGTAGACGATGTCTTTTCAACCTTTTTTTCATACCCAAATACATGGTTGTATTGCCTAAAGAAGTCTTCATGTTGCGTGTGCAACAATAGGCAACCTGCGGGTTCGAGTTGATAGGTCAGTTCACGCTAACCAATGTCAGAATTGGCCAACCGGTGGCGCCAGCTATCACCACGGAAACGTCTAACCCCTGTCATGAAAACATGCGTGGACATGGGTTTAGCCAAGCTCTGCCGAGCCCAACTATCAGCCCTATATGCCAGCTATGATAATCTTGCTATGTACTCCCTCCTTCGTGTTAGTGTATGGCTGTTGGAGCGCATATCTTAGTTGTGTTAAGGTATAATGTTATAATGTAGGTAGCTATGCATGGGTTCTGATGAGCCGTGTGAAGAATTTTCTTTTATGAGGCCCCTAGTCTTTACTGAAGCATAAGGACGACAACGCAGCATAATACCTACAAGGGATATATGCTAAAAAACTGGATACGCAACTTGGATGGGGCGAGACGCAGGCGGAACACTGCCCCATAGGCTGGGCACCAGCGCAGAGCTGGGTCGTTGGCCTGAACATATAACTTGCGGAGAGCCGCCGTTCTTGGCTTCGACTTGGTTTGTGCATCCACAGCATTCCTATCTTCTGCGATCGTGGGAGACGATCGTCGACTAGCTAAGTAGGATCTCAAAAAAAGCTTGTTGCAATTCCGAGATGTCCCATCACGATCTTGACTACGCCAGCCGACGGTTGCAGTTAGTGGGTTCCCGAGTGGTGGAGGCCGAGGACGCTGGTCACCGAGTTATTCCTACGCAGCATCACCATCACCATTCTCACTCTCGCTCTTACGATGACACGGAAGAGTCAAGTCCTGAAAAGGGGAGGCATCATACACCGAAATTCCTCAAGGTGAGCTTTCTTGGCTCATACGTCTTTTCTGCTTGAGCAGGACTAACATATACTAGACTCACTCAGCTACAAATTTTGAGGTTCGCCTAGGCCCGTGCTCCCATTAGTTTTCTATTATTGACATTTGACCTAACTAGCTATTCTACGACTTGTGGTTTGTAGCCAATCTGAATGTCTTCACTAGCGTGAGTTTTCATATATCCCAAACCACGTTGCCGTATTAATTATTGGCATAGAAACATGACATCTCGGACATATCGAAGTTCTTGTCTTTTATCGGATACATCGTGTAAGTTAAGCTTGGTAATTCGTGCGTCGGAACTTCGTCTCACACAGCGTCTAGTCTCTTATGGACAACATGGCTATTAACTACCCTCTACGACGTACGGTTCACTGCCGACAGCGTGTGGGAACGCTGCTGCAAGGCTATTCACTTAGGGGTCATGATAGGATTTGCCGAGATTGGAGCCGCCTTCGACCCAAACGACCAGATTGTATCAGTATTTAGGGCGATGTCGCTGTTCCTTGCCGTTTCTCGTTTCGTCCTTGCTTTGCAGTACGGGATGGTCACGTTCCAGATTCGCAAGTATGCCCACGGCAAACGTGCTATGTTCATCACCGCCGTTCTCCATTTCATCGCCGCTGCGATATACTTCGGTGTCTCGTTTAGGTATAACTTAGGCAAGACGAGTCGTGTTTTCCTCGTCTGGTATATTGGTGGTGGTGTCGAGATGGCTCTTCACCTACGCATCTCCCAGTTGTCCCATGTTCTAACATTCCTTGGTACACATCTGGGTGAGAGGTTAAACCTCCTCACCCTAGTCATTCTCGGAGAAGGTATGCTTACCCGCCCCTGAACAAGAGCGCCGCTAACGTACATGGCAGGTTGTATAATTCTGGCCAAGAGTATTACTCTCTTGGTGAAAGATACTTACCTCAAGGATTCCAGTTACTCGATGTGGAGTACGTGTTATTACCCTACTTAGGTACTTTTTCTATAACTAACATGCCAAGGTTCGACTCTCATCGGTCTCGTTGCCGCTGGTACTGCATTGATATACATCATTTTCCAGCTTTACTTCGACTGGATGCATGACGAACATTCAATGTCCAGACGGCATCAAGTCTTATGGTAAGCATATCGCTATATTTCAATCAACCTTTCGACATTTTCTAACACCCATGATCTTACAGGACAGCGGTGCATTTACCCTTCCATATCGCCCTTACCCTTCTTGTTGAAGGCGCAAACCAGTTTATTGTCTGGGCCCGTATCCTCGAAACTTCCAACGCAGCTCTCTCAAAGGTAGTCAATCTTCAGACCCAGTTCGTAGACATGACGTCCGAAGAGGTTTCCGAAAAGCTTGCGAGCGTGATTCAACCGTTCCTTGAGAAATACCAACCCGCTGATGTCCTTGAAACGATGGATTCCGTGAATGAAACTCTGGAGCACATTGCCGATATGCCCAACTCATTCTGGAAAGAGGATTCCCACCCGGATAATTCGACGCTGGCTCATTACCAAAACGATCTGATAGACTTGATGAACACGATGCTCAATGCTGTCTACAATGCTTTTGAAATTGATCCAGCTGAAGGGGAAGAGGATGGCCCCAAGCCCGAGTTCTGGCAATCTGAAGCAGCGGTAGCGGTCGCCAAAAGGTTTAGATTAGTTGTAAGTTGTTTTCTACCTTACCAGTATCACCCCCCCTTCCATATTAAGGTAGCTGACGTGATGAATATCAGTATATTTATGCTTTTGCATGCGCTGGCATTGTCCTGCTCATTTTAACTATTATGCACATCATCTCTAAACGAAGAGGATGGACGCCTTTCAATATTCTCAGAACTCTCGTCTGCATTTCGATTTCCATCGTCCTGGCACTTCTTACTCTAGTAGTAGCCAACCAAGATGCTGTATTCAGAGGCGACAGGCGCACGGCATTCTACGGAAGCTCCTGGATGTTGCCAACGATTACAATCAGTTATTTCGTTGTTCTTGTCCTAACGCATCTGCCACACCCATCCGGATTCTGGATGGGAAGCTTTAGAAAAGGGACATATAAGGCAGTTCAAGTGCCAAGGGGTCCTAAGGGGGTTCAGACCCCACCACCTTTACGGAACAACCATCACCTCATGGACTATGAAGAGGGACGAGTCGAATCCTCGTCGGGTGAATACGATGTAATAACTCCACCTCTTCCACGATACGAAGAACACAGAGCAAGGGAAGCACGAAGACAAAGACGTAGTCAAGAGAGGCGAAGCCATGATCCAAACTCTCGTGGGCAGCGGCGCGGATATGAGTAGGGCAGTTCATAAAGCTGCGGATGATGATTGGTTATGCATAAGTTAAGTGTTGACGATTATATATGGTGTATGTGGTTGATAGGTAAATTGTCTTGATTTAAAGAACCTTAGCAAGTGGTTAGGGGTTTTGGTTCTCTACGGCGTCCTTTGGGTAACAAGTCTTTGACATGGCGTTATGGATTTAAAAGGCAGCGCCAAGTTGGATTACAATAGGGTTATTTTACCATATACTATAGCTAGTCTCGACGCTGTATATATCGAAACACGATAGGTGCTACGACGACGTAAATAGGAGGCTAATATTAGCCTTTCAATGCATACTAAGACAACTCGTATTCATGCAAGCCATTGTTGTGAGAATGCGAGCGAGAAGTGAAAAGAGAATTCTGTGGAAGTACAAAAAACTATGAACTTAGCTGGAACCTCTTTATCCTGGATGTCTCACTGGGCCAGAGATCCAGGGATCGCCTCTTCCTGGGCTAATCCAGGTGAGAATAACCCTTCTCACCGTCAGCACCCCAAGAATATATCGGCTGATGAAGTAAAAAGACCGGTAAAGTCGGAAATGATGCCCAAAGCATCGACAACCGATTACGAGTTTCTCTTCCCCACGTATACCGCAATGAGAAGACCCCCGGAAAAAGGGGCTGTTGTCATCTTAAATCCGTTGGCAGGGTCTTCTAGGTAGCTAACCAAGTCCTTGTATCCATCCGCCGCCACAATAGTGTTATCAGCAACGACCATTGCGCCAACCTTTAATCGTGGGTGCACAAGGACCAAGGTTGGTAGCGCTAGGGGAGTCCAGACTTCTTCATATTAGCTCGTCCTATCGTAAAACAGATAACTCCACGTTAAAGTGATGAGGAAACTCACTGTCCAGCAGTAGAAAGTCGATTTTCTCAGGCAAATGCGTCTTGAGAGTTTCACGAAGATCGCCCTCTCTTAGTTCAATCCACTTCTCGATCTCGTTTCCAGCGGCCTTCCAATGCTCTCGGGCTTTCGCTGCCTTAATGGGCTCATTCTCCGTCGCGATGACCTTTCCATCAGAGCCTTGTAGTCCGGCATTCTGTCCTACGGCCAACGCGAGATATATAGTGCTCAAGCCAAAAGATGTCCCAACTTCAACGACGAAACGCGCCTGGGTAGATCGGAGGAGAAGATAGACTAATGCGCACTTGTCGGGATCAAGAGCCACAAACCTGTCTAAAGCCCCTGTTGTCGGCCCATTCCCACCTAAAAAGGGGGTTTCGGAAAGGGCCTTTGTATGCAAGTCGCGAAGGACCTGGAGGATTTGAGGACTGGCCTCTACGGAGGCTAGCGTTGTCTCGATCTCGGGGAAGTTAGGCATGGTGGGTAATGAATTGGTTCTGCTTAAGCATATAGTACCTCGAGGAGACTCTTGGGATGCTCGCTCCTTTTATATTCATACCTACCTACTTAGTTCATCTACTAATGTTGCAGGCAGGGATCTTCAATGTCAAGCACTAGAGTTTCGGTAATAAACCTCGGCAGACCATGGGGATTAAGTGAGTCATATTGGCTTTCCTGTGTCGGCCTTCAATAGTACTATATAGTTTCATTGCATATGATTTTCTGGTAGTCACTGCCAATCAACTACTCCATCTCCGAGGAGATACAAGATCGTGAGAAGCAACCACTAAGCTACGCCGTGTAATATTACGAATTCTTTCCGATGGCGGCCCAAGTTTTCGATCTAATACGGAATGAGCATTATTGGTCACAATACATGACTATTTCATGGTGATGAAATAGTCCATGAGGTTCTAACGAAACATACTATCGACTTAGCGGACTTGTAACTTGGTATACTTGCAACTACTGGCCGCTTAAAGATACCTTAGGTAGGGATGAATTAACCCCCTTTTGTCATCTCAAGTCATGCTAGTTATGTTAAAGGCACCTTAGGTACCATATGAGGTATAATGTTCAGGCTCACATTAGAATATAATGAAGCTAATTGTAAATTTATTTTCCCAAAACAATCCATATGGCTATAAGCATAAATTAAATTGACAACACCTCGCTCTTTGTACATGGCTATAAACTGGAACGACTTGAGTCTAAACTAATAGATATTTTATATAACTTAAATCCCATTAAACGTATCAACCAGTATAATCATTATTGCATGTTGCAACCTCGACGTCCTACGTCCTTACTAATACCAAATAACCTCAGGACGCCGATTAAAATATCGGGATATGTTAGGAGACTTATACCTAGATTGCCGAATATTGAAACCAAAATTACGGGTAGAAATGGATCCTTCAATCCTTGGTTCTCCAGGCCATCTTCGATAAGGGCTCCAGTTATGGACGATATAATCCTCAAATGCAGGGCTAATATATTCAGCTTCTTCATTTACCACAGGTACATACTTAGCATCATTTTCTAGTATGGTCTCTATGTGATCAGGTGGGTTATAATCGGCGTCTTGGTTTCCCAAATCGTCGATTTCCCATCCTTCATCTCGCATAGTTAATGTCTTAAAGAGCTCGTAGTCTGCATTTGCCTGGCGGAAATATTCCTCAGTTGAAGATTCCTCGGTCCACTCGAAAAGCTCAAGGACCCTATGGTCGCCGTCAGTGAGACGTTCATTGCAACGTCTCTGGAAGCCGGTCGTAAATGTTGTCGGAAACCCTCTCTCATCCACAAGTACATTAGCGTGACCATGGAGGAGACATACATCCTCGCTCGTACCCAGTCTTAAAGTCATGTGTGGATCGGCCTCTACAACGAGGTAATCCGTTGGGTTCCCAGCATCATCCCACTTCGTCGGCACCCTTTCGCCATTTTCATAAACGTACTTACTAGTGTGAACTGGACAAATTATCCACACAACTGTACATCCACTTCTTATAGCTACTGTCTTTGCTATATCGGCGTTAGCATCGATCGCACGGTATAAATCTGCTTCATCCTCAAACTCAGGGACTGTAAGTTCCTGTCGTTGTTTTTTCGTCAAGCGAGCAGCCCAAATCACCATGGGATTATCGAGTGTTCCTTCGCCATCTCTGGGGCATTTTTTAAGGTCATCTGGCTTTATCCGTAATCTCGGTTTACCTCCCCGTGGAAGGTCCATACCGGGCTCCCACTTTCGTCCTTTAGCTTTGTCGAATAACATTTTTGTGTGTTCTATCTCGTTATGATATACTTAGTATGTGTTCTCAAACTTGGTATCCAACGCAATACTTTATATAAGATCATATTTTTCATATATATACCAATAGAAATAAAGGTGACAATGGAGAATAAGGGTTGACATTAAGACTGTGATTCAATTATCATTTGGGACCATTCGTAACAATTGAGAAATGAGTTCATTGTCCAATTGTCTTGTGGTCTCATTGTGAAAAAAATGTGCTCAATGATAGAGTTAAATATGTCTACAAAAAACACGTCCGGGTGGTCCCTTAGCTTGCAATACTTGAGCCGGGTTTCAAGCTTCTCCTGGCTTAAGTACAGTTGATTCAATAACTGTATCATTGCTACCTTAGGTAGGTATGGCATTTATGATACGGACTCAGTTGATGATGATTGAATACAGCTCAAGAGCACTATACATGAGTTTGACAGAACATACTATCTTTTGGCGATTTAACAGGTAACTAAGCTCTTGAAGGAGAGGTCTGTAGAACTACAAATTTAGCTTCGAACAAATCATGCAAGAAACAAAGACTCATGTTTAACATGTTTAAAAAAAATTGGCAGTCTTTCCCAAAACCGGGCACTATGCGGACAAAGAACTAATTTATCCTCAACAGATGGTCGGGCTCCAATAAATCTTTCTGGCAGACTATCTCGCACTCAAACTTACAGAACCAGCATCTACGCCTGATCCCTCTAATAAACATTGGTGCTCATATACCAAGTACGCACAGAAATATTATCAAGTAATTTACTTTCTACCCAAATCCCATATTTGCTGCTGGGAAGTATACCCCAACCCGACACCACCCCAAGACATCGTGAACAAAGGAAGGTTAAATTTATGTATACCCGTGACCCCAAGCAGTTGGTTCCATCATTCTTTGCGCAACTACGTAATTCTTTTTCCCATTACTAGGTCGCATCGTATCATCCATTACTTATCTCCAGACACTATGAAACCCTTTCAGCGTTTATACCAACCAGCTGTGGAAGATACCGGGGAAGTAGAAGACAGGGAGAGGTACCGGCTGGGTGGATATCACCCAATTCATTTCAATGATAACCTGGGACCTAACGAACGATTTAATGTCATTCATAAACTCGGGTGGGGCGTGAGCTCTACTGTGTGGCTATGTTTCGACAAAGAGTCTAGGTACTACAGGTCAGTCAAGGTCATGACTGCAGACGAATCAGTAGAAGACTGTCCAGAACTTCACATAATGAAAGCCTTCGGTGACATTAGCCACCGAGAACTCGAAGATAATCATATCATTATACCGCATGAATACTTCTGGATCCAGGGGCCTAATGGTCGCCATCTTTGTCTAGTTTCGGACCTCCTTGGCCCAAGCTTATTTAGGAATTCGCCTCTCGGCACCGGAATCTATACCCCGGATATTTTAACAAACTTGACGTATCAGGTCAGCAAGGGACTACAGTATCTTCATAAGAAAGGAATTTGCCACGGAGGTAGGTACCCGACTCTAAGAACTACCTAAGCGTATAAGAAATAATATTAACGTGATAAGACCTAAGGCCAAGCAACATACTTATGCAGTTACATCAGTATAGTTTGATGGAATTACCTGATAGTCGGCTCTATAGGTACCTTGGGCCACGAGAATGTGAGACTCTTCAACCACGGAATGGGACGACTCCTTCGCCTCATGGACCTAGGTACTTAGCACTACCCGCTTCGTTAGACAAATTAGAAATGAAATGTCGAACCAGCCAGGTAGCGCTCGTCGACTTTGCCCATAGTTTTTATAACTCAAGTTCCACAAGACCCTCTCGGTGGCATAGACAGTATGCTGGACCAGAACTCTTGTTTACGAAAACCCCAAGCGGATTTCCCCAGGATATTTGGGGTTTGGCGTGTACGATTTATGAGGTTAAACTTCAGACGCAACTATTTAGTGAATATGAGGACTACAGTTCCTTGATACGCCAGATGGAATCATGGTTTGGGCCTTTACCAGTAGAATATCGACAGGTTGCAAGCGCCCATTTAGAGAGAGACAGAAAGCGGCACCTGATATCATCCAATGGAAAGCAGCCCTCGAGCAACACAACATCAATATCCGAGGATAGATTATCCGATCCAGATAAACCGCTTTCGTTATCCCCAGATGAAGAACAGAGAGCAAGGGATTTATTTATGGAGGGAACTAGCTGGTCAAATCCGTTACAAGCAGCATTAGGTGAAGAGCAAATATGTTATATCTATGAAAGGAACGATGCAGAGTATACCTCATCGGACAACACAGACACTGATTTTAGTAGTTCAGACGCTGTGGGTCGGGATTGGTCTTCAGGAGACGAAAGCTCTCATGTGGACACAAATGCCCAATTAGAAATTGATTTCCAGGGGATCGAGAACCAAGACCTAATGTCAGAACATTCGGATGAAAGAAGCCAAGAGTCAAATTCGCCATCGTTACAGATACCTGATATCCCTGCAGATCTAATAGAGCAATCTCGAGACGAGCAATGCTTCCCTGAAAAGGTACCGCTGGCCGAAACGAAAGAAGCGTCCCAAGACCTCCAGTCCGATGAAAATGACAACAATCAAGTTAAGACACAATCGAGTCTTGAGGAGTCCTTAGAGAAGGAAAATACTAGCGAATCCAGGCAGGAAAGAGAAGCGAAACGTCAACGCACGAACGAAAACTCGACAGAAAAGGGGGGCGAACTAGTGGAGCGGGTAGTTCGCATGTCCAGAGAAGAAGTATTGCTCCTGTCTGACCTTTTATTGCGCATGTTTAAACATGACCCGAAAGATCGCATTGACATCGAGGCTGTTGTCAATCATGAGTATTGGGGCGACAGAAGAACCCACCGGCCTATCAACAATGAAGACCCCAGTGAAGAAATCCCCGATCCCATATCCTCGAGGACTCGCAGCCGGGCCTCAAAGGCTCAACAACAAGTAGAGTCCGGTTCTTCTTAGATTATCGGGCCAACTTTCCGAATTATTTCTATCTATTTTATTCACGAATTATTTGGCAGAGCTCTGGTATTGAAGAGAGTGGGTATCGTAGCTGTTGGGTATGGAATTCTTGTTGGGGTTGACTGTCAGCTTAGGCGGAGCGGAAGTACAAAAGCAATACTTAGAATGTGAGATAAATTTAACAAAGAATCAAGACGTAAACACCGCTACTAAAGGGACAATAATCACAATGGAATTATAATGACAAGAGTGTATTTCTCGAATATTATTTCCCAACAGGGGACCCCAGCCCAGGAAACGTGCACTATTTGGAGTAGAAGTACCGTAGCACCGCAGTCGTATTTCTAGGCGTTCGGGGCCAACTAACTTTTTAATGTTTACCAGCCCGGTGGCACGGGCAAACATCGTATCTATTTGTGTAGCACGTTTTCGTACTACACTGTCATACGAGACTATTGATGCCAAGGTGACTAGGTATCACAAGGCATTTCTAAGACATTCACTAAGTGAGCCACCGTGTTACACTACGAACAACTCTTAAAGAAAAAAGAAAATGCAATCCATCTACGCCACGTCGAGGATCAAGGTAAGGATTAAATATGGTTTCCTTAGGTTAGGCAAATAGCAATAGCAAACGGAAGAGAAAATAGCTTGATAAAAGTCCTAGGCCGCAACGTGATATCAAGCTAGACTTCACCTAACAAGTCTTGGCTATCGGCATACCAACCTGTCAGCGAAGGATGCGAGGAGAGGATATCAAGCCCAAAATGCACTTACAGTGACGGGTAACAACAGGTCACACGTGGTGAATTTATTAATAGAGCATGCCAAGAATAAAATGGCCTTGGCGTTTGCAGCCACGTCGACGGGGACAACTGGAAGCCCAGCTGAGGGGATATACATATCCGCACAGCCACGTAGAATCCGGGGCGACGGGGCCTACGTTCAAGTCCCACTCGGCATCGTTATCGCGACCACTGAGAAGAATCCGTTGGTAAGAGGTACTCTTAGCCCCGTCTCTCTACCATCTCTGCTAATCTTATTGTCTCCTCTCGACCCCATCATCGGGTCATGATGTGCACGCTCGCACCAACCTGCGCTCAGCCGCGCTTTGCGGTCAGCAGCCAAGACCCGACTATGGCTCCGTCGGCAACCCAGCCTTGTACGTAGAAGTTTATTTGCTGCGGGGACTAACATGACGAGGCTTGTTGATCTCGTAGATATAAATCTCTGATCGGTTGTCACTTTAAGATGACTTACTATCACTATCACCATCTCCAACACATCCTACATCTTTAATAACATATTCACCATCTACCTACCTCCTGACTCATAATCACTACCTCCTCCTGGAAGCTCATTACTGCTTATAAAAACTACCTTTTAAGCTCTAGTTATTTCAGCTTCTTCTAATCTATAATGACATCAAAGATGTCGTCATTTGCCAAGACCGCCGCTTCTCTAGCCTGCCTCGCAGCGGTCACGATGGCGACTCCTCTTATGAAGCGAGGCGAATGGGACTGCCCAACGGGCAACGTCTTCTACTCATGCTCAAACGGATACCGCGGGTGCTTCGAAAAGGACCCTTGCGCTCTTCCTCCAGCTGCCACGACCTCTCTTGCCTCTCCTAGCACCACTACCACCTCCATCGCCAGCTCCAGCACTTCTTTCGTCGCTGCTGCTTGCCCGAACGGGACTAAGGGTAGCGTCTGGCAACCGTCTATGTACAACCTATTCCCGGAAGACCCTGACCATTCGGAGCCGTCCGTCTCTTTCATAAACGTCTCCACCCGGGAGAACAAGCCACCGGTAGAACAGGCGATTGTCTTCCGGGGCATCCCGTCCGAGGCCAAGACGTGCAATATCAACTGGGACCAAGCCGCCGAGTCGGAGCGCAACTTCACCGTCGAAGACAGCGGCTACGTCTCCCTCCTACAGTTAAACGGCTTCCCTTACGGCGAGCCCGTCTCCTCATCCAGCGTAGCCGCCTTCGAGCCTGCGGGCGCCAAGCCTGTGCACGGCGACTTCACCTTCTGGGACAAGCAGTCCAAGACCGCCTGGCCTCACTTCATCGGCCCCGTCAACTGCAGCTCGGAGATCTACTTCCGGCTCGCGCTCGACACCCTCTCCGGCTTCGGCCACGTCTTCATGGACCAGGACAAGAAGAACGGCTTCCACATCGACTACACGTGCTAAATGAAAAGGAAGGAAATCGGGGGTGTTTGCATTACACCGGTACGGATTCGGAAAACTCACTCATTTACGATCATGCATTAGCGTTGGCGTTTTAAGATGGCATTTGCATATGAATCACGCTCCTTTACCGATATTTAGAGGGACTGTGTTTATTTTTAATTCTATAATTACTTAATATTACACGTAAAATATAATTTTACATTCACATCATCTTTTTTCGTATGGCTGCTTTGCATGTATGATTCCTAGTATCTTGATACGCTCAACGACAGAGAAGATAGCTTCGAGTAGTTTGAACTCGAGTCAGCCCTTATTGATATTATGGGAGCATGGCTTTTCCCGGTTGCTAAATTGAGAGGCCCCCTGATGGTATCTAATTGTTATAGTTCGAGCTTAAATAGGAGGTCCTATGAGCTGGATACGTACTATTGTCGCATACTTACGTCGGCATTCACCTAGTTGACATCATTGAGTCCTTTGACATCTTTAAGTATTGAAAATGTTTTATCATTAATGGATATATCCTCGTTGCTTTACGTTGTCTATGTTCGTGACTAGATTCCATGCGTGTATCATAATAGTACAATCTAATAATATATGTTTATGCCTCATGAATCCAACGGCTTTTCACTCTCCTGTTTGCTCCGCCGTCGCAAGTCATCCAGCCAACGTTTCTTTTCGACCCTCAGACTCCTACGCGTCCATATTATCGTGATGAACGTCCAGATAGTGGTAAAAGCTAATGGTGCTCCCCAACCTATGAACTTCATGTTAGTAAGGGGTTACGAGGGATTGGAGGACATTGTAATTTACCTATGCCGTACGCTATTTCTTGGGGAATAGTCCACACAACCACCAAAGACCCGACTCCGACAATCATGGATCCAACACCCCAGAACCAGTTCAGGCCCCTAATCAATGTCCTGAAATGTTTACTAACTTTATATCTACGCAGTACTCTCTGTCTATACGTCTTCCCTGCGCCGCCATCGACAGCTACGACATCTTCTATGAATGTCAATAGCACAGGTGGTATGGGCGCTCCCTTCGGAGTCGAGCTGACCTTGCACGTGGTGGGCATATTCCTGGCTTCCATCCAACCCGTAGCGAGGGCGAGAGAGCCTACCTCGATGAAGAATAAGGGTAACGGCATGGCCAGCGGGCGGACTAACGGCTCATGGGGAATGGATGCGCCGATTAGAATTCCCGTCATAACTGTATAGCCTATAGATAGCGTCGTGTGTGTGAAGTCAAAGCGCCAGCGCTTGCCGTCTAGCGGCCGGTACGTATCATCTTTTAGGATCAGTCGCCATGAACGATGGGCGAACTCGAGACCAGAGACGATGCCAAAGAATGAAGTAATAATTGCGAAAACTGGCTCTATGTGTAAGCTCGTCACTATGTCCCGTTCATAGAAGCGCTAGATATAAATATAGGGAAATAAGGCAGCGGAGTAGAGGATACTTACGAATACCATGTCTCAGCGTCGTATAGTACCATAGCGGATAGAACAGAACAATCGGCAAGATGCTTCCTTCGAGGACCAGAAGTCCCCCAATTAAGAAGAGTTTCTTCTTGTGCTCTAAGAGCTGATAGTTCAGTCGCGGTAGGCCGGGCAGCTCCTCGCTTGGATCCTTGCTCGCGGCCGCAGACGAAGCGGATGAATCCGGAGGCTCGTCCGGACCGGACAACGCTGGAGGCGGGTCTAAATCGGCGTTCCCATTTTCCAAGTCATTGCTAGCCATATCGTGACTCATCAGTTACCGAAATCTGGAGAAGCGACAATAGAGGTTGTTAGGTTATTAGGTTATTATGTCTATAGCCGAACTGGCACAATCATTTGATCATTTACTACCTGTGAATAGAGTCCCAATTCTATGGGAAGTAGTTGATCCCATTTCTGGAGAATTTTGGAATGGCACCATGATATTGATAGGGTCGGGTGTAGACATTGTATTATCAATCGATCTCAAAAATTGATAGGTTAATAGGAAGACTGACGAAAGCCCAGAGGACAGCGATGACGTTGTTGATTCTGAGCCTCTGGGCAGGGATAGGTAATCCTTTAGGATCTTTTAGCTGACCAGTCTTAAAGATAAACTCCGACAGGGCTTGGTTCTAATCCTTGCAACTTGGTATAATATGCACAATTCGGATACTATAGTTTAGCAAATGCCGTAGGATTATACAATTAGGAATATATACATGCTACCTAGGTACCTATTAAGGAGAAGATCTGAAGGTGTACATAGATATGCAACAAAAGCGTCTATTAACTTACGGATGTACCCCTGTACTGCACGAGTAACGCTAGCCTTAAAACCCTAGCGCTACCCCACACCTAAAGCTACGGGATGACGTATCTACATAGACCCTTAGGATTTGGCCCGTTACGACGGAATTCAAGATATCTTGTCTTGAATCTGACATTGCACACCTTCATGATTTCATGCATCAATCTAATGGCCATTCAAATGATCGTTTTAATTTATCACATTTTTTAGGGTGTTATCCTAGATACAATAGAGATAATTTGTTATATTACGAGAATTAGTATCTTGCAGGCAGTCTTCGCGTACAATAATGAATGACGATTCATTACAGTAGGGTATCTAGTTTAATAGAGTTAGGCATCGTTCATCAATAATATTGATAATATACTTGACCATCAGCTTCTTAGTGGCTCGTTAAAACCAGATGGTGTGTAAAGTCTCAAGACAATCCGCTTCTTTCAGTCTGTGCTGCTCCCATCCTTGGGTTTGGGTTGCAGTAAAGGGGGTAGTTTTAAGGGAAGATGAAGGATCGAATGCGCCTCGTCTTCTTCAAAGATGTTCTTGAGCTTGCGACAGCATTCACCATACAGCTTCTCCGACTTCTGTGGGGGGTTCATTGGATTTGGTCCTTTATCCCATCCATGTGCTACGCCGGGTATCATAGTGTAAAAGACGTTCTTCGAAATAGGCGGATTCTGTAGTCGCTGAGCAAGCTCTTCGCCTTCGTGTAGCAGCATATCCCATTCGCACGTATAGAATATTATATTATGAGGCAGGCCTTCGATCAACATCTCGTCCGACGCTTTCGAGGGTGATAGACATGGATCAGCAAGGTCTAATTCGGGAGGAAATAGATACGACGCGTCAAATAGATTCGTCAAGGTCGGCGGGAGAGTAGCTTCGGGACGGAGCGCAGAGGCTCTGCGTTCGGCACGAGTCAGTGTATAGTCGGTGATTGGATACCAGGTTGCGACAGCGAGAATACGATACTCGGGAAGTTCCACAGTCTTTCCATGTTCGAACAAACGGATCGGCGCCGTGAGGGCGATGTTGCCGCCTGCTGAAAACCCCGATGTTGCTATCCTATTGCTATCGAGTCGAAGCTTCGCTGCATTATTGATGATATATAATAATGCGTCTACTCCGTCATCAACGGCGGTAGGGAATGGGAATTCTGGCGCTAATCGGTAGTCTACTGATACGAAAACCGCGTGACACTTCTCGAGTACGAAGCGAGCGAATCTTGCATCGTCCGATGCGCTACCCAATGTGAACCCTCCTCCATGGAAATTTACAACGACTGGCCATTTGTCGCTCTTTGGATCCTTGTTGTAACCTTCGGGTAGATAAAATTGGAGATTAAATTGACCTTTCGTGGTTGATATGGTAGAAGGAATCGACTTGACGAAGTCTGGATTTGGTGGTCGCGGAGAAGCGAGGAAGTGTAAACTCATTCCAATGCATTGTAAAGACCTCCACCAGCCGGCGGTAACTCGGAGAGAGAAACGTGAGGGCGGAGCTCCTGTCTTATCCTTTGCTTTGCGCGGTCTCTTATTAGGAGGCAACGGAACCTCAGGTAAATTTTCTTCCGGATTACCCTTCGAGGGAACGGGTATCCCTTCAACCGTTTGCATTTTGGAAGGTATAGAATAGGTCGCGTAAGAATCAAGTCTCTAGTAATATACTTCTAACAGTCTTTCTAGATTTATTTAATCATTTGCTTGTCATACGAAAAAGAATGTAGTAAAAGTAAGGTAAGGTAGTTAGACGAGGGTCGATGGTAATTCGCCGTGTTATTGCCGGCAAGTGATGGCATTAGAATCTTTAAGTACTGTACACATCAAATCTGATATGATATCGAATTTGAGTGCCATGGTAGAAGTCTTTAGTTGCAAATTATCTGAAACGACATGTCGGGATTTGCATAAACGGATAGGCAATTCATGTCACACGATACCTACAGTAACAGTATTTCGGAATGCACCGTCTTGCCAATATGACGTTTGCCACTTAGGACCTTGACTATCAACCCTTGATCCTTGCCCGGACCTTAGGTACCTGATCTGTCAGTGTATTTAATCTGTGGCGCGAATGTGGCAAGTAGTGGACGCCACGAGACAGACGAGCAACAACATCAATCAAATGGACGAGATCGAATTGTCGAATCCGAATGTTTGGTGTCATGATGTCATGATTCTCATAGACCCACAAAAAATACCGTGAACTTAGATCACCAATGGCACCTTCGCTGGCACCAACCCCTGCACTAATACGCCTACGAATAGCAAAATCGCCAAATAGGGATAGATGTAGAGGGTATCACAAACTTTAATTGGCTATCATTACCCATGCAAGCCCGGTCTATTTGCTCCGGGTGGAGACTCCGAGGTAGTTGATTTCGTCACAGATACAAAGTCGGGCATAGACAGAGCTGGGAATTTCATACATATTTTCAGTAACTGTACCTAGGTATCTTCATTCACATGCCCGTCCATGCCGAATTCTAGCTAGCAAACACTAGAAGAATCTACAGAAAGCAATAAACAATAAACCGTCTACTGTCAATCAGGTTTCTGCCAAGATTTTTGTTATATTAGGTACTTACTTGCCAGAGAGTCCATTGCTTCTTAAGTAGCACCCAACAGATTTTCCGTTGGATCTAATAATCTACTGTGTACCACTGACCTCATCATATATTATTTTCTTCTCCAAGCGCCGTCTTATACATTAGGTAGTCAGCACTACATCTCCACAGACAACTACACAACTTTGATCCCATACCCCCGTCTAGAAACTTCCCCACTGAGATACCCAACCGTGATAACAATATGCCTTCGATTAGCATGAAGAAACCTCTTCTCCTACTGAATAGGGTTATTGGGCATTCGTCAGCCAAGAATCATATCACCAAAATCCATCTTGGCGACATAGATGCATTAAATGAAGAAGCAGATAAGAAGCATTTAAGGGCCTTGTATGAGAAACGAGCCAAGAAAGAGTTACAAGAAGAAAACCGGCGATCGCTACAACAAAAGCGTAAGGAGGAAGAGCTGGCGGCATTATCTAGTGAGCCACCAGAGTTACGATCAAGCTATGGCACAATCACCGAAGAGAGCATGCCGCCTTCTTTTCTACTCGAGCATTTGTCAACCGACCACATTGGGCAGACTATCAGCTTCAATGCCCGGATTCACCATGTGCGATCTGTAAGTGCGAAATTGGCTTTCATATTGCTACGCCAGCAGGTCGATACCGTACAAGGTGTTCTACAAGCTCGGGAGGGAGTTGTGTCCGAGAAGTTCGTACGATGGGCCGAGCATCTTAATACCGAATCCGTAGTACACATTCGAGGTACTATACGCAAACCACCAGAACAAATTAAAACCTGCAGTATACATAATCTCGAGATCCTCATCGATAGCATGCACGTCGTTGTGCCAGTCGAGGATCCTATACCCATTGATGTTTACAACATGGAGCAAGTGGAGGAAGATGAAAACAGCCATGAGAAGCAGTTAGCGGCCTCAAATCGTGTTCGCGTTGCGAACCGACTAGTTTTCCTCCGAACACCCGTTATGCAGAGCGTCTTTCGCATCCGATCAGGTATATGTAATATATTCCGATCTTCTCTGGAGGAACAAGGATTCATTGAGATCCAAACTCCCAAACTTCAACCAGCCGCGACCGAGTCTGGTGCAGAAGTCTTCAGGGTTAACTATTTTGGAAGAACCGCATTCTTGGCGCAGAGCCCGCAATTGGCGAAGCAGGCGGCAATTTCCGCTGATTTCGGCCGTGTCTTCGAGATTGGGCCTGTTTTCCGAGCTGAAGATAGCAATACCCACCGACATCTGACAGAGTATACCGGTTTAGATCTGGAAATGGTGATTCAAAAGGACTACCACGAAGCGATGGATGTAATTGACGAGATGTTGAAGGCCATCTTCAAAGGTGTTTACTCACGGTACCGCAAAGAGCTTGAGAATATCAAGACGAGGTTTCCCCATGAGGATCTAGTCTGGCTGGAACAGACACCTCGTCTTTCATTCAAAGAGGGCGTCCAATTATTAAATTCGGCTGGGTGGACGGATGATAATGGAAAGCCAGCTTCTGAGAACGAGGACCTCGGGACTCGTGCAGAGATCCGACTTGGCCAGTTGGTCAAAGAGAAATATGGAACTGACTACTTCATTCTCGACAAATTCCCAGCATCGGCACGGCCATTCTATACGCATTTAGACCCGGACGATGAGACGGTAACTAACTCGTTCGACATATTCCTTCGTGGTCAAGAAATTACAACAGGAGGTCAAAGAATCAACAACCCAAGAGTCTTAGCTGAGAGAATGAAGAAAGCCGGAGTAGACCCAGAGGGTATGGAAGAGTACATGCAAGCCTTCGAATGGGGTGCGCCGCCGCACGCGGGGTGTGGTATCGGTCTCGAGCGCGTGTTATTCTTGCTGTTGAATCTGGGAGACGTCCGGAACGCCACCTTATTCCCAAGAGATCCGAAATCCCTTCCTGCGAAGAGACATGATCAAAATGGCAAGGTTCCGTTCCCCGAGGCCGACACCATCCGATACGCATTCGAAGGAGAACACGACCACGTCCATCTACCTGATCTGGACAAGCTTATCGTAAACTATGGTGATGCTACGAACACTTCCTGGCTCGACGAAAGGTACAAGGTCTGGCGGGATGTGGATACCGGAGCAGCTGTTGGATACGCCGAGGAGAACGGATACGCAATGATAATGGGCAACCCACTTTGTGATCCACGTCAGTATCCTATCGTCATCAGCTCTTTTCTCAAATACCTGAAAAAAAGCGAGGATCTACGGCCTATCTGGATCCTGGTCTCCGCACAGGTCGAAGAGATCCTTGGCGCGAAGCTCGGATGGAGGACACTAACCTGTGTGGCCGAAGAGCGCGTAGATATGGAAAATGTAGGCAAGGTGACCAAGAAGGAGCGCCAGGCCCAGAAAGCTGAGATTAAGATACACGAAACAGCACTTGGTCAGCCGGTCCCCGACAGCGTAAGGGAAAAATGCGACAAACGCATTGTCGACTGGAAGGAGAGCCGCAAAGGCCGAAAGCAGGTTCACATTACCGAAGTCCAACCCTGGATATCGATGGCACACCGGCGCTATGTGTGGGCCGAAGACAAGACTGGAGAAATCGTTGGCCTTGTCATCTTGCACCGCCTCTCCCCCGAGCACGGATACCAAATCAAGTTTGCGCTTGACTTCCCCGGCTCTCCATCCGGTAGTATCGAGGCGCTCATCTCCCACGCCATCCAAAGTTTAACAGCCACAGGGGTTAGCAGTGTGACTTTCGGTGCTGGTGCTATGGATGAGCTTCTCATCGGGAGCAACCTAAACGGCATCAAAGCCAAGCTACTAAGCCGCACATATAAGACAGTCGCGCAGCAACTAAAATTAGTGGCAAAGAGCGAATTCAGAGAAAAATTCGGCGTGAAGTACGACCCGGTTTACATCTGTTACCCATTCATGGGCCTGGGAGTCTCTGGCGCTAGGACACTGATTAAGTTCTTCGAGGACGAGATGTAAAGGCGATATTAGTTTGCAGTCGCGAGATATAATCACTTTTGCTGTTTTCCTTTGTTGTTATGATATGGCACGGCTTGGCGCGGAAACATTTTCAGTTCGATACCAGGGTAGATGATCTGGACGCACTTCATGAGTATTTTCTTGATGATGATAGATACCCATTGTGGACAATAAATATTGGGCGACTTAATGATAGAACATAAGTATAATAAAGAAGACCCCTAATTCAATGACTTGAAAGTTAATCGTTGCCATGACTTCTATTTAATAAGAACTACGACGCCTCAATGAGTCCAGCTATTGTGGTAAAAAGATCGTATAGGTTTATATTGTGGCCTAAGTGGAGATTCTTCGAAACAGAATTCAGCTTATTAGAGAGATCTTAAGCTATTACATGGCCGTTTTCTCGCGTGGAGCTCCGGTGGCATCGCCCTTCAATCTCGTATAAGTGGTGTACAAGTTTAGCCTGCACCGGAGCCAGGGGTCCGCTCAATGCATGCGACTCACCCCGGCCGTTCTACCCAATCTTGACAACGGTACCGTCCTACCATGCCATGGCGGCGGGTTATTCCCCACGTGTCCTTAATAGGGGCCGGGAAATTTACAAGCGATAGAGTAACTGCTCGGTGTGTCGGGTTAAGTACATTAACTACCCAATACCCCCCCTATGCTGTAAGTATTCTCAAAGTGATCTTCTCAAGCAGTGAGATACTCGTTTGCAGCTATGGTCGTCCTCAAATCCCTAACTATAGCCTGCCTGGCTACCCCCATTCCGAACGCCTCGGCACTTCTCGCATTTCCCGGGGCTGAAGGGTTTGGCCAAAACGCGGTTGGTGGTAGAACGGGGTCGGTTTACCATGTCACAAACTTGAAGTGAGTGTGGTTGCGCATGTCTGTAAATTCAGTATTCTCATACAAGGTGATTGGCGACTCTGGGGAAGGATCCTTCCGCGATGCCGCGTCGAAGTCAAATCGCATTGTCGTCTTCGACGTTGGCGGAACCGTTAAAATCACCGAGCGGGTCGTAGTTTCGAAGAATATTTATATTGCTGGTCAGACAGCCCCAGGCAATGTAGGTCCTTGAAATATCTATCCGCTACGGATATATAGAGTATGTTTCATCCCGTGCTAATAGTTCTATAAGGGAATCACGATCTACGGCAATGGCCTATCGTTCTCCAATGCTAACGACGCCATCGTGCGTTATATCCGATTCCGTATGGGTAAAGGCGGCGATTCTGGCAAAGGTGCTCTTCCATCCCACAAGGATAGTTCATAATCAGATCATGTGTCGGCCACCTGGGGCCGGGACGAGACTTTTTCTATAAACGGAGCCGTGCACAACGTAACGGTACAGAACACGATCATCGGTCAGGGCCTACAAACCCACTCATGCGGTGGACTGATGCAATCAGACTTTGGTATTAGTCTCTTCAGAAACCTGTACATCGACAACAAGACGAGAAACCCCAAGGTCAAGGGCATGAACGATTTTCAAAACAATGTGAGCTTTACCAAGTGTGCCATTGGGTACTCGATAGACATACCAGTTACTAAACAACTCATCAGGTCGTTTACAACTGGGGAGGTGGTGGTGCTTACATCGCTGGCGACAGTGACGGTCAGAGCTATGCCAACATCATCAACAACTATTTTATCTCCGGGCCCAGCACGAGCGTATCCGCATTCACGCGGGGAAACGCCAATTTCCACGGCTGTAAGTGTACTGGCAAATGCCATGCTTCCAAGCAAATGCTCACCTTGTTACCTAGACGTATCGGAGAACTACTACGACAGCAATAAAGATGGCACGCTCAATGGGTCTCCCCTCTGCGTCCAGACCAGCTGTTACAGCGACATGGATATCCAGAAGACGCAGTTCGACTATCCAGGCCCAGAACGTCTGATGGCGGCGCCCGATGCCCTGACCTACGTCCTCAGCAACGTCGGTGCCAACTTCCCTGGGCGCGACGAGATCGACAAAGGTCTCGTGGCGGAAGTGCAGAGCTTCGGCAAGAAGGGCGAGCTGATCAGCGCTGAGAACGCGGGCTCTTTGGATAACTCGAAAGGAAACGTGGCGACGGACACGGATGGAGATGGGATTCCGGACGTGTACGAGGATGCACATGGGTTGAATTCTCGAGATGCAAGCGACGCGATGAAGATTAGTAGTTCTGGATATGCGAATATTGAAGTGTATCTTAACTCTCTCGTCCCCTCTTCATAAAGGGCAAAAAAAAGGAGCAACATGTCAATTAGAAGTTTGAAGTAGCAATTTGCATATGACGAGAATCTTGCCAAAAGCCATTGAAGTTTATAATCATGAACCCAATGCAATTATTGCATCGGTAGATTTCCTCAGGCGAAGTCACGTTATAAATTGAGAATTTATCACTAGAACTCATATCCTTTGTGTACCTGAATTCAATTACCATGATGTTTCTCATGCAGCCGAGAAGACAATTAACTGATTCAACCGATTGCTTCATTATTGATTACCTAAGGGACGTACTTGAGTACTAGTTACATGGTACAATGAAAAAAAATATGAAAGAAATTATATATGCACGAGCCATTTCTGACATTTCACTATTCCTAATTGGGCAAAGAACGAACATTTCTGCGCACATTTTACTAACTATGGAATATAACCCATTGTAAAATCCATCGACATCACAGCAACTATCCCTCGGAAGGAAGCCCACTTCCTTCCGTGTATTTGCAAAAGCACGCCCCCCTTGGTGGTGTAGTTGGTTATCGCGTTCGGCTGTAATTGATAAGATTGTTACCGAAATGTCGCCGGTTCGATTCCGGCCCGAGGGATCATAACTTTTTGCTATTTTTTCAAATTGTATGTTACTTTTTTCACTTTCCCTCATATCTGGTCTGTATTTGCGTTGCACGCATATATTCTGAGCTGTTAGTTTTATTATTTCCTTCAACTATTCACTTTAGCATCAACAAGCTTGTTCGCATTGTCATTTAGCAATTTTCTTTGCCCAAATCTTTTCCCCAGAGTCTTTCTTGCTCAATTCCCCTCCAGACCATTATTTTACACCTAAGGTGTTGTTCCTGTAACCTCTAAAGTATTTGATTAGCACATCTTTCTTCATTGGTCACTTTTCAACGATAGCAACGCTTGTTAGGAACTCGAATCATTCCGTCTGGGTAATCAGGTGCAGATTCATTAGGTCCCAAGTACAACCCCTTTCCAGGAGTATATATGGGACCATCACAGAATGGGAATAGCCATCATATATTTGGTTAACTGAAAGTTTCTCGAGTCGTAACTTTTTTCCTTCTTGATCTACAGTATCGGTGAATCTTAGCCCCTAATGAGAATGCTAAGTTAAACATATTGTACCAGAAGCAAATGATGTCCTCTTAAACACGTGTATAATAGGTAAATATTTCATATACGGGAGGAAATTCCAGAGTTCTAAGTATTGTAACTGAGACAGTGCGAAAGTAGCAAGGCTTTGTTTGGTAAAGAAGACTAAAAGCACAGCATCGGAAAGTTGGATAGGGAACCGGCCTAAGCAGACGAGGTACCTATGAATTAGAATTCCATCTATTATATTTCCAATAGAGGACATGGTACTGTTAACAAGTACTACGATCTTTTATGAGCCTTTGTTACTTCACGGATTAGTATCGATTTCCAATGATATAGAGGTTTGAGACTGAAAATGGTATTAAGCGACTGTCCTAAAAGTGTATCCTACTCATCCAGCCCAGCCAAGATCGTCTTCAACATTACTACGAAGCCGTTGGCATTAATTTCAATCTTTGGTATCCATCCAATTCCAACACAAGTGCACACATCTGTTTTACCGCAGATGTCCTAGTCCCCCTATCTTCACCCAAGGGATCCATCCTGGCCCTATAGACCGAGCCCCACGAGTAACCCGAATCTCATTATCATTATTAAGCAAACCACCTGGAACCTATACCCCTTAGCAGACCCGGCTCATATATCCAGGCCGCAGATCACATCAAGGCAGATGTTTGGTATAGCCTCATCGTTTTTCACCTCACTTCCTTCCCTGTGTACTCGAGCTCATCAGACCGTAGTCAGTCGTCAGGTCTTCGGTCTTCTGGCCATGCTTTCGATCATACTTTGCTGTAGGCGAGTTCCCCATGTCTTTGAGGGTCTCTTTAATTCGTTGGCGCATCGACCGCTTTTGCTTGGTATCGCCGTGACTCTTTTCCTTGTCGTACGAATATGTGGTAGACTCTGAGTAAGTTGAGGCAGATGAGGGTTTGACGTCTGACTGTGTTTTTGCTTGTGTTTGCGCTTTCGACGACTGGTAATCGGCTAGCTGTCTCTTCTGGTCTTGGTGATGTGGCCAGATGAGTTCTGGGTTTGTCATCGCCAAAGACATCGAGACAGCTGCCGCTGACTTTCGATAGCAATCTTGGCACATTTTTATAAGGATGTAAGTTTTTCGTTACGGGTTTATAATGCAGGCAATGAGATAGTTGGTATTGAAGTCTTGTAGGATCTATTGGATAACTGCAAAATAGTATCCTGATAGTATAAGGATGATAGTGATGTTGATGAAGGATAGATACACTAACCAGCCTTAGAAGAAAGGCATCGGTCTTATACGAGATTCTAGTATGCCTATGACTAATAGGCAACTGCCATAGACAGAACAGGGGCTGGTGACGCAGCTTAGGCTTGATCATGTAGGCAGACTACTATGAGGCTACACAAAGGATTCACTTTTACCTGGTTGGTTAGAAGCAGTTCGTCTTAGTGATACTTGGCAACACAAGCAACAGGTAATAATACGCTTATACGCCCATTAGACGTAAGCTACCATCGAACAAGCCACAAATGCAGAATGAGAAGATGACTCTTACGGCGCAATGCTACCTAAGTACCTACATTTCATGGTTGCCTTATGATTAGCTATAGTAAAACTCCGGCCTGATTATAGGATAACAGTTATATCAGTTATATCATAGGCGTATCAAGCAAATAAGACTACGAATCTCTCCCTGTGTTGACGCGTCCAATCGTTAGGCTGCCAGATAATTCTTGTTAGCTAAGTCCCAATTGAACGGTCATCAGATCCTGGGTACCCGATCTGAATCCTTGTTTTATACGCCCTGCGAGATCGGATTCAATTTTCGTCTGCTGAAGTACGAAACAGGTAGATATACCTACGCGTCCTGGACCAACGAATACGCATCTCTTAATGCGGGAGCATACTAGAATAGGTAAAAGTAAATGAGGGGGGAGCTATCCCCAAATGTCTCCAAATGTTTGCTTAGAAATTGGGGGCCGTTGCCTTTCCACCGGGTGACTCACGCTAATATAGCTAATATACGCATGCAAGTATCAGCCAGACACACTATACCCCGGCCCGCTGCCGGCACCAACCGAGAATTAAATGGGCCCCCCGGAGCACCGTCTCTTAACTATCTGTATCACTAGTCTAATGCATGAAAGCGTGTCGTCTAGAATTTCCTCTTTTCATCTTAGTTACCTCAGCTTGGAATATTTTTTATACCGGTTTCTATTTGCGGTGAATATTCACGACTTGACTCACAGCCCTTAGTTGCTACGTGTAACACAGAGCATCGGGTAAGGCATTTTTGTTTGTAATCATAAATCATATGATAACACATCAAAGACAGGTCAACCAGATGACATATCAAATAGTATGTCATGAATACTGCGATAATATAAAAGACACGAAGTAAGCATGCGTCTTTAAATCACAGGTGTAGTTCAATTAGGTGCCTGGTACTCTAATCAAAATGCTTCCTTGGAATTACACTCTATCCTAAATCGCTTGTTACGCATTTTTATTTCAATTTTGGAGCAGATTATTCCCATAGTCATCAATTTAATAGGGATTGTACTTACGTTGTTTCTATTTATACAAAGTACAAAATACTCTATTATAGTAAAGATCCCCTAGGCAAATCAACCAGCCCCTAGGCTTTATCCACCAATATACATACATTGCACCATATTCGCCTCACCTGGGTATTTACCGGTAAACATGATTGAGCCCCGGATCCCCATGAGCCTCTATCTAAGCATCAACAAAACATCGTAGCCAGGCATATATAGTACATTTCACTGTATGCAATTCTTACAGGGAAGAAATGAATTCATCGCATCGACATCTGCTCCGGGCTCGCTATGCATGGTAGAAATCGGGGGAGGGGGGGTCTTAATATGTGAGGCCTGACACGCCTGCTTCCTCAAAATCGGTTGGCAAGCACAATACACCAATAACCTTGTGTACCATCCTGTCCAAATCAAAAACAATGGCCCCCACTCCTATACGCCAACCCTTATATACTGACGTACCAAGACCAAATCTAATCCCAGCCCTGATACTCGTCTTTATCCTGACCCCGACCCTTCTATGCTTGGTCTTACTCATCCTGGTCTTCACCCTCTTCCTGGTCTCCATTGTCGCTATCGTCAATATCTGCGGTGATCAAATACTTAGCGGCGTGTTGTGCCGCCTTGGTTCTGTTGCCCGGGGACTTGTGCAGTTCATTAAACCGACCAATCAGCACTGACTGCAGACTACACATAGCATCTTTGTCGCCGCACTCAAAACTATCGAGTTCGGCGATTCCGATCCTAGCGATATCATTGGTCATGGATTCCCATTCGCTGCCTCCCATGAAGTGAGCCCATGCATACCATGATCCATGTCGCAGAACGCATTCCTTGAAGACGGTAATACGCTCGTAAAAGACGGGATCTGAGAGGATCCAATCTTCGCGGGACTTGATAAAGCATGATCCCATCATATCTATCAGATAGTAGATCATGGTACAATCCTGTTTGGATAGGTTGCGAATGTATTCCTGTTGCGAGGGGCGTGCGGGATAGTTCGTATACGGATCCTTTAGACGAAAGCCCTCTACAAGATCACGCCCACCCCACCATCTCATGCATCGGCGTTCATACCATTGTACCCCAGGCGGTCCGCAAGGTGCATTGGCTGCAATATCTGCAATATAATCGCATTGTGCAAATGCACGGTACAGGAATGCACATAGTCGTTCTTGCTGAGGATTGGTGAGTTCTCCTAAGCCTGGTGGTGACTCAAGATTGAAGTGGGGAGAGGCCGTGAGAATCTCTTTGACTCGGGATTTCCGATTCTCTAACTCTAGAAGCATTCGAAAGCTTCCATGCTTAATTGGGCGTCGAAGATATAGCTCTGAAGAGAGCACATCACCAGGAGGTGGAACAGGGAAGTTTGCTAGGCGTAACTGCGACAATGAACGCTCATACGTCTTGAGGAGCATGTTGTTCTCCTGTATTATAGATTAGTTGGTTGTTTGTCTAGATATAAACGATTTAGATTTTCAAGGAGGTCGTAAAGAGACTTACCTTGCTTGTCTGGCAAAGCTTGAATAGAGACTTGGCGTCCAAATGCTGCGCGATCTCAAGGATCAGATCCTGTGAGAAAGTAGCCATGTTGGAATTGCAAATGATCTGCACCAGGAAAAGAGAAGAGCTCTGTGTACAAGGTAACGGAGGCGACCCTGTAAAGACTGACTGCTCAAGGAATGAATGGAAATAGTAATATGTGTGCTAAGGTTGCAGGAAAGGTGTTATGGGGAGGTAGCGAACACTTAGAAGTATTGTAACTATTTTCCAAATCATAACTTGAAGACAATGATTGTCAGTGATTGTCGACAACTCTTAGAGTACGGGTGGGATAATCGTCTGTTATGTATGTGTATGGTATCATTGATATTTGATATGAATAAGTCTGTTCCTTTATGTGCGGCGCTGGACACTCGGACACCTTGATGGGCAGGCTATTTTTGCAATTAGCTCTTCTGACATACCTGGCCGAAGAAGTAGCCATCAAGGTTTGTGTTGATTCGGTTGCTACTGCCATTGTCCTATGTATCCGTCTCTAAGACCGTGACTCTGATGTCGTGAAAGAATCACTTAGTCACTCATGAACGGGTTGAGATGAGATGGCTACAACTGTGGAGTGTGCGTACGGCTGTATGCTTAGTCATGTGGGGTGGGAGGGGGGGAGGTTCGTCCTTTCCTTTTGTCCCCAAACCTCATGGTCATAGCTGCTTCTTTAGCTCCGTCGGTACATGAGTACGGATGATTGCCAATTACCTATCCGGTGGAAAGAGCTAGGTGCCTCTAACAGAAGCACATAATTTAGGAGGTAGTCACCAATTTTGCTTGCGGTGCTGGGCAAGTGCTTCGTTCAATAGGAGACTTATTCAGCCACGATCACCAAACATTCGTTCGACCTCCGAGGTTGGCGGAAATACGAAGCTCTGCACTTGGTATTGTCGTGAAGATAGCTTATAGTAAATCCAAATCTGGGAGTTCGGTAATTCCGTAACAGGTATGTAAATCTATCATGTCATTTTATTAGTCTCTTATATGCGATGGAACTGTTTGTGTTGGCGTAGTAAGATCTTGATGTGATCGCTATGCTTACTAGCATAATATTCCATCCACGGCTATTGATCGATAGTTACTACCACAGCAAAGAAGATATCAGTAGCAGTGTTCTGTCCAATAAGCTTCGAGATTTTAGGAAGTCAATAGCTATGCGGCACTAGAATAGGAGGTACCAGGTATTCAACTGCGCGTAGCCATTACGGGGCCAGCCTTATTGTCCGTCCTGTAGCATCATGAAGTTGTACAAGTCCTCTCGACCTATACCATACGTGTCGATAGTTGCTAACGATTCTATCTTTATATTGAACGGAATAATATAAGAGGCCGGGATCGTATTGACAAGAGACGGATGAAGCTTTGTACAGGAGGAACTTTACCCCAGATCTGCGTTTGTTGCGTGGTGATGTACCGGTAAGATTTTGCTGTGCCAGACCTAAATTACCTATGCCCGAGTGTACCTAGGCAGGCAGACTAACCCCTTTCCTCTTGCAGATGAGGCTAAACTCGTAGCAGAAATTTTGCCTGGTTTTAAGAAACAGGTTAGTCTATTTCTAGTAATTAGCTTAGCAATTGATTATATTTCTTTTCTTTTAGCATATTTCTCAAATCACAAAAATGCCGATCTAACCAGGATCGCGGGGTCTAGACATGGTAAACTAGCACATACGTACATCAAGTACAGGGGATAGTACAGGGGATAGTACAGGGGAAGCATTCAAGAGTCCAGGCCGCCCGAGGCAAGTTTAAGTGTTTAAAGTTTGAACCAAAGCCGAAAACTACCTACACTTTCGTCATTCCTTGCAGCTTGCAGCTTGCAGCATCGCCATCTCCATCTCCATCTCATGTTTCAACTACCTGAGTCCATTCATTGATTTTCAATCCACCGTTTCATTCACACATCATTGGTACCAGTGGTATACGCGGCCACGTCTTGTTGCTTTGGCTCTCAATTATCAGTTCTCCAGTTCTCCAGTTCTCCAGTTCTCCTTACAATTGGACTAATTTAATAGCGTGTTGCGCTGAGGGTCGCATTTAGCCGCCTCCATTCGAGAAAAACTCTTGTCGACATCCAGTCTTTGCCAAATTTCCATTTCGGCCTTGCCAATCTTCGGAATATCCCCCGGTCTTCAAGTTTGCAACTCGTTTCGAAAGTTCTCTCTATACGTCACAATTCCAACCGTTTTGTTCCCGTTCTACCAAATTTTGTTCAAGCCGCCTGTTAATCGACGTTTTGGTGCGGGTACTAGCAGCGCGACGCCATTCAAACAATATAGAGGCATGTTTGCGCCGGTCGTCCGATAAACCCTTATACGCATCGTAATAAACACCAGGGTGCAATTCCTTTCGTTCAAGCATCCAATCGTGCACGTAATTCTCAAGCCGAGGAAAAATAACCGATCGAATTTCTCCAAGCGGCCTCGCACCCGTCAATTCACGATGCCTTCAGCTAGAAGAGTACGCCTCCTCATGATGGTAGTGCTAGCCGCTGTTATCACCACCTTATTCTTCACATCCCAGATGCGGTCGGCAATTCCCCACGACAACCGGACAGTACATGATTTCTTTGGCAAGACTATGAATGGCCTAGGACCCCAAAAGGGTCCTGGTCAAGTTGTGATGAGCGGCAAAGGAACAACTGTTGATTCGACAGTAAAAGACAAGGATGGGGATGGATCTGTCGACGAAGACGACGAGCAGTTGGCAAAGGAGATGGCCGATCGGTTACGTGCTGCCGAGCAGAAGGCCAAGGACTTAGCTAATGCTAAGGCACCACTAAAGCCAGATCCTCCGAGTGAGGTCATTGGTATAGGGAGTTCGGCTGGAGGGCAGAAGAAAGGCACTTCCCAGGGGAACTCAAAGGAGACAGACGAGGAGAGCGAAGAGTCAGAGGAAGATCGCGAAGTCGAAGCGACTCTTAATAATTTACTTAAGAAGTCATCCGGTAAGATCACTGCGTCGTTTGCCGCACTTGTCTTATTACTTACTTCCACTTAGTTGTTATTTTCTCGAAAACGTTCTGCCCATATTCTAAAAGGGCAAAGGGCGTCCTCCTCGAGAAATATTCTATCGACCCCGCCCCTTACGTTGTCGAACTAGATGAGCATCCCCTAGGCAAGCAGCTACAGGCAAAATTAGGTATTAAGACGGGACGCAAGACAGTGCCCAATATCATGATTAATGGTAAGAGTGTTGGGGGTAGCGACGAGATTGCCGAGCTAGACTCGAGAAAGACCCTCATTGACAAGTTTAAGTCTATGGGAGGGAAGCAGTTATCCATGAAGGAGCGATTCGTCGGGAACGCCAAAGAGAAGCAGGAGTAATGAAAGGCACATGCAGACACCTAAACAACGGTTTCTTCTCGGGATATCTTGGGGGTCACGTGAATACGGAACGCGGTAATACGGACAAACCGTTGTCATCTGCATGTATGGCGTTGGGGTCTCTTTTACTAAGTACTATTGTGTTGGGCATTTGGGTCTGGCACGGTACAAGACCAAGGCGTGGTCTTCGGCTTTTGCATTCTAGACTTACAGCTCTAGGACATTTCCCAGTGTATGTTAATGTGCTGAAGCACGTACATCTTGTGCCTGTATGAATATATATAGGTACGTATCCGGATAAGGCCTTCGAGCCGGCTTTCGAGGTCCATTTATGGAGCAGTCTTCATACGAACCGGTAAGCCAAGGTTTTTAGCCAAATATTCAGCTTGCGAAGAATGGTGTTGGAGATTAATGGCAACTGATGACGCAAAGATTGAGATGCGATTCCTCTTTGGTTCGTGACCGTAGCCCTCGCAATCGTAAATAGATCGTGATTGTAAGAGTGGTATGTATTGTACACATATCATATTTCCTATTCTTCCAATTCAAGCATGAGCCAAACGTGACTATATAATTCAAATAGAAATCGCTTAATAATCATTAGTTGTAATCAATTGATTTAGATACTACCTATTGTTAAAGGGCAACTAGCTGAAGATAGCTTCGCATTCGACCAGCATATACATCTACCCCTGAATGCGCTTAATCATACTAATTTCCCAACTTAACACTTAACAATCTTCCTTTCGCCTAGATTCTCTGCCATTACAACTCACAATAGAAAATTCACGTTTTTCTTTCGGTTTCTCTTTTCCCCTTCTTATTTCTCGTTATACTTCACGCACGTATATCCACGATGAAGGTTACCATCGGTCCAGCAACCTTTGCATCCATTTTTTGGCTTGCGGAAAGTGTTGGAGCAACACTTTCAAGGACCGGTAATATTACGCTTTTTGCTGATACTTTATGTCAGGAACCCGTCTACGTCAATTCTTTCATTCTCGGCTTCGACACCTGCGGAAAGGAGAATTCCGCCACCCCTTACCTTGATCCATTCCAGTCTTACATCTTGAACGAGAGGCCATGGTGTCAAAATGGTACAAGGCCATATTTCAACGTCTATAGCGACTCCACATGTCTTGACTTAACCACGTCAAATGAGCCTGGACCTTTTCGTGATGAGAATGCACAGCCTCGCTGCATAGCACCAGGAGATTTCAAGGGCATGGCCTTTATTTGTGATGGATTTGACGGGATTGAGGGCACTGCGGATGATACACCGACAGCTAAGGAGACACTGATAGATGGTCCTATATCTACTACCTCAAGAACGACTTCCATTCCGAGTACCACACCAATATCAAAATTTTCATCTACGCAAACTCCTTCCACTTCCTTCAGCACAGCATCCTTTAACAGTATCCCAACATCATCCCCGATACTTGAGGGCCCAACATCGAATCCAACAGTAACCGATAAAAGCCCCTCCAGTTCTTCTAACGCTTCCAGTAGCACATCAGCAGCACCAATTCAAACAAATATGGCAAAAGCGATAACAAACAAGGGGTTAGTTGTACATGTCGTATTGTTGATATCTGTTCTTAGAACTATACTGTAGAGAAATTTCAGGTCCGATATTCTTGAATCGAGTCAGTTTGATTGGCGACCCCAAAGACCAGCTTGCCAACATTGCAAGTCGCCATACATTTCTAACGTACTCATATCATTCCTTCTTGTTAAGGCGAGGTGACGATCTTTGTCGGCTTGCAATTATTCCCAACCCCAGGTCCCCCTTCAAGTTCCTTACAAGTCGTAAGCTGAAAGCGATAGGACTTGGAGGCGACCTTGCCAGAAATATCAATACACGGCGGGGCGCTACGGGATATCTCAGTGCAGTCTTGCTGGCATCCGCAATTGTTGTCTGGCGAATGCACTAAATAAGTACCGAGAAAGTCGGATCCGTGAAACTTGAGCGATTGACGACCACCTTCTCCTGTTAAGCAACCGGGATCGTTCACATCAACGGAGACGCCACAATTCTTCGTACACGACGTGTCGTCACAGAACTGTGCCCAAATTTTGCCTGCAGCAAGGTGCACGTTGATGGTGCCGGTCAGGAAGATTGCGGCTTTGGTAAAGGAGGTAAAGCGGACCATTTTCTCAGCAATAGTAGGTTAGGTATGATATAGAATGTATTACATAGGTACCTACCTAGGTAGAAAGCTTGTGATATTTGTAGAGTAGCTCTAAGAATTGTCCTGAGGCTTGTTTAGGGCTGCCATTTATAGATATCTGCGAACTTACGCGTCTGAATACGTATTGTTGTTACAATCAAGAAGACTCGTAACACATAAGGCGACCATTCAAACATCATTAACGCTTGTATCTTGTTATTTGAGTCTAGATCCTTCGTTCGTACTATCCACATAGTATAATTGAGGCCCCACGGAGTATTCGCACGTATAAATATGGGAACGAACAACGACGTCGCAATATCAATAACATATCAGAAGCTTGATAATATCATATAAGATCATATGGGAAGACCCTGTGGTGAAGTGAAATCCCAGAGGTTGTATATTGAACGCGCCCCTTACATACAAAGGATGAACTAGCATACGCCCGAAGCTCATCATGGAAACAATACCCTAATTTACCTATATTGAGGCCGTATTAAATGAATCGCTAGCAAGTTATATCCGAGCAAATAGTCTTAAAGCAAGCACCACATCGATATTCCTTACCTCCTTAACCTGCCAACCCATCATTAATGTTTTGATGTTCCTGCAATTGTCGAGACTACCTGGAAACACTTTCAAGAGCAACTGGGGCAACTAGAGAAAAAGGACAAACTGATCGAAAGCTTTTTACTTGACAGGACGCTCATATTTAAGATCTAGAACATCACTACCTGGATACGAGACTTTGTACCACGATTCTATATATAATTTTGTACCTACGTAGCAGACGTAAATCTGTATTAACTTGACGAAGGAGTTGTGCAAGAACCTGGTTACAAGATATAAAAGTAACACGGCCGTTATGTATTCAGAATTCATTTTGTATTTCGAGTTTCTCCTATGTCATAATGGGCAATCTACGGCGCAGTCAGATACAATTATACATAGGAAACTACCCTGATAGATCAAGATAAATATTGGCCACTCGAGCATTACTCGAACAGCCTACCTAGATCGTATATAGTAATATTTTGCTAATATAGCGTAGCTACCTCGTCGTCGAGCAACCCCTCGAGCTGATACTGTTAATTTGTAGGTTGCTTTTAACATATTTCTAGCAAGAGAAGCCATATACCCTTTATAATTAGCTAATGCTAAACATATTCCGCTTTCTGCCCAACCTATATTCAAGCTAGCCGCTACATAGATAGTTCACATAGATAGTTCACCAAGTAAAATATTGTTCATGATTTCGTTCTTGTAATAGCCAACGTATTGCTAACGCGGGGTGTTGTTAGGTTACCTAGGTAAGGTACCTAAGATATGCTAGATGAGGGATCGACTCGTGTACCTGCTTGGTGTCGACAGTACCTTTAGGGGTAGGTACTTTCTGAGGTAAGTGTTTAAATCTAGCAGTGAAAGATGATTCTAGGTACCGTACATGCATGGAAAGGATGTAGGTACATTTGATATGGGTACTTTGGGTAGGTAGTTTACGGGTAGATCAGGTGGGTTGGTAGGAACTACTAGGCTACTAGATGTGCTTGATGCAGGATCAGAATACATTAGGCCACTACCATTAGATCAGGATCCATTAGATCAGAACATATTAAATATATTAAAGGCAGTAACTTCTGTAGTAAATTTTGTTTGCGGTAGATCAATGGTGGCGAGCAGCCAATAGGAGTTGCTCGAGCACCTGCCAACCCAAGTATCACCAGTTTCTGCCTAGATAGGTACCCCTATGCAGAAGTTTCACTCTTAGGAAACAACTCTTGAAGATCATTTTACATAGATGAAAGCAACTGCCATGTTTGATATAATAGTTATTACCACAGCAACTAGAATCAGTACCTGCATTTTATTACTGCCCATGCTGATTCTGTTCCCTCTTTACCGCCCTGCCTATTTCTATTTAATTCTGACGAGTTTCCTCCCCCCCTACCATCTTCCTCTCCCTTACCATTTTATTTTATCCTCAACAGTCTTCAACCTCTACCTTCACTCTACCTTCTACCTTCTACCATACACCATACACCATACACCATACACCATACACCATACACCATACACCATGCACTACACAACACACTTCACCCTTCAACCCAAACAACAATAACTTCAACCAAGGTATGTACTCTTCCTTAACCCTCAACCTGCTTTACACTATAGCACCCATAACTCTCACCTAACACATATGCATGCCATGTCACTTATCATTACTTGAATTTCCCATTTTACACTTGCCTTCTGGCATTACATATTGCCCTGTATGGCACTAACCTACCCTCGGCCAACCTCACTCATCCCTTTAACTTTCCATCAAACCCCAAGTTTTCATATCCTTTCTTGCATCCCAGATGGTTTCGATACTAATTTTCTATATTTATCCTAGAACCATTCAACGTGACACTTCCTCTTCCTAGAATAGGTTAGGTATCCCCCTTAACCCGTTCTGCTAATGTTGATAGGTCTTTCTCAGTACGCGGGGGTCCTGTCTTTTTCTATAAAAACTGTTGAGCGGGAGCTGATGCACTGGCGAACTCTCACAGCCTGACATTTATGGGGGTGGCCTGTAGGCAGTCCATATGGACAACACTAACCCAATGTTGGATGCCTGACAGCCGTTGCTACGGTGAACGTCGGACGACAAGTCGTGCGTCGCGATATTCCCAGGTTGTCGCAGCGGAACAACTCCTTCGCACGCCGGCTATGATCACCTGAGGGAGCAATCCTGAAAGGTTCGAACTTGCTGTGATTTTCCACATCAACAACTGGGCGGGTCAGAGAGCTAGTAGTGCATTGGCTTTCTACCCGTCCTTTTATTTTCCCACTTCCCTTCGCAACGCACGAAGGACCTTGGGGGTCTTCTTGTGCGGAGGTTACTCTATCCATTGAGCTTGGCAACTCACTCGGGTATACCGACCAAAGTACAGTTGCGCCCTTCCAGGAGCCTTTTTTTCACGCCTAGGGGAGATACGTTGTGGGCTCCCCGAAGCCTCCTGCCGGTAACCGATTCGTTCGCACCGCGCTCTGCGACACGGTGCTTTCGGGAATCTCCTTGCTCGCAAGGATGACTGAAAGTGCCGTTAGAAAAAACATACCCGGGCTCTGTGATCTTTGCGTCGGACTCAGAGTGCTGGAGAGGTAGGGCCCCCATATGCGTACTTTACCAGGTGCGGGGGGGGGGGGGGGGGGGGGGGGGGGGGGGGGGGGGGC